GTATTAATTGGAAAATATAACAGAAGAAACTTATTGATAGGTAATTGGCAAACGGGTTACTTTCTAGAAACTACAAAAGAACATCCAAAAAAAAAAAGTTTTTTGAGAGATCAACCATTGCTGGGCATCTTTTGGCCTTAAAACGTTTATTAAATACTTTTTTTCGATTTGTATGTGTTAAAAGGTTATTCACGTTAAAGGGACATACTGAATAATTGTTGAATGCAAATGTTTGTAAAAAAAAGTAAATAAAAAATATATAAATAATATGATAATATTATTAAAACACATAACTGATGACAATATACTTAAATAGTCGAGGTATTTATTTCCAACGACCAAAACTAGACCTATCATTTAAGGTGTTTCATACATAACTCATTTTAAAACAAGTGCTCTGAATCAAAATTTGAACTCGACCTTGGGCCTAGATTTGATAATGTTTCATCTCCGTACCAATAATCATTACATTAATTAATCTTCAAGAAATCATTTTTTTTTTCCATTTTAAGTGACCTTAACAACGGGGGTGGGAGGCAGGGTGGGAGGTCCAAAAGCAATCCCAACGAGAGTCTTCATATTAGCTTCTTTTATACAAAGTTTGATTACAAGACATTGACCATATTGGGTCATTAAAGAATATGTCTAAACGGGTTTCCACATACGGTTGCAATATACCAAGTTTGATAAAAAATACATATTATACCCAACTCTTTGTATTGTTTGGAAACAATTATTTTATTTTTAGTAACAGTGTCTTGACCCCTGGGGGATTCAAAAGCAATTTTAATCGGGGTCTTCATTTAAGCTTGATATATATACCAAGTTTGATTACAATATCTCATTCTTAACATCATTTATTGTCCAGAAAATATTTTATTTTTTTCTATTTTTGGTAACGGTGACCTTGACCTCGGGGGGGGGGGGCAAAAGCAAGCCCAACCGGTTTTTGTTTTACATAAGGTTGCTATATACCATGTTTGATTGCACTAACTCATTCTAAATTTTTGCAATCGTCCGGAAACCACGAAGTGCACCGGTCGACCGACAAGCTTACTCAGGACTATATACCCCACTAAACTTCGTTTCAATGTATACTAAATTATTGGCTATCTATATTTACCTAATCAATGTGCTAAATATAGAATATATTCTATAACTGTAAATATAGCTTGGTTAACAAAATATTTATTTGAGGACTACGCCCATTTTATTTGCATAATCTTTTATACAATATTGTTTAGAAACATTGAAATTGCGACACGGATCTGCTTATAAGAAAAATAAGTGGTTTTTAAGTCTTTTAATTCAATTTCGCTGTTGTAATCGTATACGTGTTTGAACTTTTCGATCAGAGTTTTTTTTACAGTAAATATCATCAACTAGCTAAGCAGAAAATAATATTAACAATCTTTAACAAACCGTCTTTTAAAACATTTTTCCTGCCTAGTATAGACCACTGTTTACAAGTCAGAATTAATAAAAAATGAGCGATGCAGATCGACATATTAAATGGATTCAATGAACACTTACCTAGCTACATTTACTACTTATAGGTTAATATAAATTTTTTTAATTTTAGCACATTGCGACTATTAGATGATTTAACACAATAAAGGTGCCTATTAAATAAATTCTATGTACATTGAATTTGAAAGGGAAACAAGAAAGAAAGAAATTTAAGAAAGAAAGAAAGAAAGAAACGAACTTATTTGACCAAATTTATTTTCAACCACAAAATATGTTTTTCTATTGAATATTACATGTACATGTATACAAGTAATATTTACGTATTATTCCATTATCATTTGTCAGATTCGTTTATGAATTTAATGATTTTTTTATAAATAAAAAAGTTACTTTTAAATTGGTTTTATCTGTGACAGTAGATAAATGACTAAATAGATAGATAGATAGATAGATAGATAGATAGATAGATAGATAGATAGATAGATAGATAGATAGATAGATAGATAGATAGATAGATAGATAGATAGATAGATAGATAGATAGATAGATAGATAGATAGATAGATAGATAGATAGATAGATAATAGATAGATAGATAGATAGATAGATAGATAGATAGATAGATAGATAGATAGATAGATAGATAGATAGATAGATAGATAGATAGATAGATAGATAGATAGATAGATAGATAGATAGATAGATAGATAGATAGATAGATAGATAGATAGATAGATAGATAGATAGATAGATAGATAGATAGATAGATAGATAGATAGATAGATAGATAGATAGATAGATAGATAGATAGATAGATAGATAGATAGATAGATAGATAGATAGATAGATAGATAGATAGATAGATAGATAGATAGATAGATAGATAGATAGATAGATAGATAGATAGATAGATAGATAGATAGATAGATAGATAGATAGATAGATAGATAGATAGAGATAGATAGATAGATAGATAGATAGATAGATAGATAGATAGATAGATAGATAGATAGATAGATAGATAGATAGATAGATAGATAGATAGATAGATAGATAGATAGATAGATAGATAGATAGATAGATAGATAGATAGATAGATAGATAGATAGATAGATAGATAGATAGATAGATAGATAGATAGATAGATAGATAGATAGATAGATAGATAGATAGATAGATAGATAGATAGATAGATAGATAGATAGATAGATAGATAGATAGATAGATAGATAGATAGATAGATAGATAGATAGATAGATAGATAGATAGATAGATAGATAGATAGATAGATAGATAGATAGATAGATAGATAGATAGATAGATAGATAGATAGATAGATAGATAGATAGATAGATAGATAGATAGATAGATAGATAGATAGATAGATAGATAGATAGATAGATAGATAGATAGATAGATAGATAGATAGATAGATAGATAGAATAAATGAATAAATAAATAAATAAATATAAATAAATAAATAAATAAATAGATAAATAAATAAATAAATAGATAAATAAATAAATAAATAAATAAATAAATATAAATAAATAAATAAATAAATAAATAAATAAATAAATTAAATAAATAAATAAATAAATAAAAAAATAAATAAATAAAAAGGTAAGTAGGAGAGATGTGGCCTAGTGAATAAGATGTTTGCCTCTCAACCCAGGGATCATGGGTTCGTGCTCTATTTCTTCATATTACACCAGTACTTGTTAGTTCCAAGAAGCGGACTCGAAAGTGATTAACATACGTTTTCAAGCTGTTTCGCAATCAATTGAATAGATAAATAAAAAAATAATATAGACACTATTGAACCTAATTTTTGACACTATAGCTTGTATGAGTTAAATTTATTATATTTCATGTTTTGATAAACTTGATAACACTGTCACCTCGATAAATTTTACAGTTCCAACGATTTTCTTTAATTTATATAAATCGATGGCGGTCATACAAAACTATTATTGATTATTAAGATTCAACGAGGTTTAACTCCTATTAAACCCTTGTCACCAATCAATTTTAAGCTCAATGTTTGAATGATTTTATTTTCTTCCTTGTTTGTCATATTGGCGTATCGGTGGCCTTTATATGGTTTAAAGCAACCTTTTCATATCTATATCAGGCGAATATGTGAAGGTATAGTACAAAAACGTGTATCAATATTTAAGGTGTCCCCAGCCCCTGGTCTACTAAAACAAAAAGTGGTACGCCCTTGCCGTCAGTATAGAACAAGGTCAACCTGCACTTCCGTTGGCATTCTGATCAGGTTTTTATAAACTGTTGGTAGCTCAAATTTTGTATTTTAGTATCGAAACCCCTTAATCTTTTAATGGTCTGGTCCAAATACAAAGCTGGGAAAATCCATTATAGAAATTCTGTAGGTTAAGGGTTCGATTTTCCAATTTTCAGCGTTGCTAACCATTTATTTTCAAGTAGAATGGATTAACATTGTTTATAGCAGATTAAATTGACATTATTTCACAAACAATAAATGAGACGTGTCACGACAAAACCAACATAGTGCGTTTGCGACCAGCATGGATCCAGACCAGCCTGATCAGGATCCATGCTGTTCGCTATCACTTTCTCTACTTGTAATAGAGTTTGTAAGCGAACAGCATGGATCCTGATCAGACTGCGCGGATGCGCAGGCTGGTCTGGATCCATGCTGGTCGCAAAGCCATTATGTTGGTTTTGTCATGACGCGGCTCAAATATCTTTTAAGTTTTGCAATGATTTCAACAAAATGAACTTTTAATTAAAGGGTATATTCTACAAAAATGTAATTATAAATAATAAGAGGATAAAAAAAATTAAAGGAAAAATATTAACAAAACAACAACAACAACAACAAACAAACAAACAGCGAAAACGCAAATATGCTAATAGTCATTTTTAAATGGTCACCTTGTCGGTTTAAAAATCAATTAAAACTAACAACAATAACCACCATAGATTATGTGTGCCCATGTTACTTCATATGGCATTTTGTAATGATATATACCATTAGACCTTTCTTTCTAGACTACACTCTCTAGCGTTTTTTACTAGTACTAAAAGACACATGAAAGACGTCCCCGTATATGATGATTCATTTTGAATTGTAATATTTAAACACTTGCACCCGAAAAGACGATAGAGAACTTAAGTCCCGATAGTCATAATGCTTACAACATTCTTCTTTCAAGTTATAAACTGACTTACTAGAATAAGATCATACAGTAGACAGGGAGGGAAAGAGAGTATATCGATCGTTAAAATTGAAGGAAAGCAGTTAAAATAGAGTCGAATACATATTTTAAAACTCTAGTACAATCTGAGTAATCAGCGATGCATTTTTAACTCTAAATAATAAATTTCTCTAAGATTTACCCGAGAATGAAATAGTTCTAAAATATCGTTCTAAAATATCGATCTACCTCATTGGTAAAGTTAAAACCATTTTTAAGAAACATACTTAACCTGCGAGGGGATAGCTTTAATGATTAATGCTATATATTTGCTTTAAACATACGTATTATCCAATACTCTATGGAATTTCAAACCGTGGAAAAGAAAGAAAGGTCACTCTAGGATGATTGTATTTCTTTCACCAGTATTTTAAAGTTTAAATATGAATGACATTAAGGCACTTTTTATATTATCTGAACAAATTAAGTTATTTAAAAAATTAGCGGACCCTCCCTCAAATTATGACGGGTTTGAAACTTACGAGACCAGCATTAAACAGGTATTTATTCATTTTCTTCTAATTTATTTATTTTCTACTATTCATGCATATAAAAGCAGTCTTTATGTATCTCGTCATTTCAACACGTTTATATAAATATTATTATACATTTAGTGTTGTCGTAAGTTTTGGTCTTATTTTGAAAACATATTAACATGTATCGCCAAAAGAGACTTTTATGGGGAGCGGTTATTCGGTGATTACGGTGGATATCTAGCAAGGGTTCGAGCCCTGATAAATGTATACTTGAGTCACAACCGTGTTTCATCATTAAATACCAATCCTGGCTAGAAAACGATGCCGAGTGGTGAGGTGGCCAAGTGGTCGGACTAGTAATCTAAGGAATTTTGGAAGCCTGGGTTCAAACCCTGTCAGGGGGCAAGCCTTTGTTACCGTGAGCAAGAAACTTTACACTGATTGCTCAGTATTAATTGGTTCCAGGAACAGCTTCTAAATTATTTCATCAAGACTAATGCTTCCATCTACCAACACAATCGAACTAGTGTACAACAAATTTGTATAAACTTAAGTAAATAAGTTTTATAATAAGCTTAGTCCACAGTCGAACTTCTTTGATAAATAATTAATAATGCTATAACAATGATTTTTAGAATACATAATGTTAAACCGGTATTTATAATTATGCTGAAATTTCAATTTCTTTTTTCAAAAAAGTAGAAATTTATTAAAAAATAAATGAGCCGCGTCATGACAAAACCAACGTAATGCGTTTGCGACCAGCATTGATCCAGACCAGCCTGCGCATCCGCGCAGTCTGATCAGGATCCATGCTATTCGCTATCAGTTTCTCTACTTGTAATAGGGTTTGTAAGCGAACAGCATGGATCCTGATCAGACTGCGCGGATGCGCAGGCTGGTCTGGATCCATGCTGGTCGCAATCGCATTACGTTGGTTTTGTCGTGACACGGCTCAAATGATCATGAATGTTAATAAACAGAAGTAGTTGGGTAGGGTAGGGATCAGAAGGTCTACAAAGTACAGTCACACCGGTGTTAATGATCACCTCGGGATAAAGATAAACTTGTAATATAAAGCCACTTTTTGATGACCCTTTATTGGTAAAATGGAATAAGTAGCCTCCAAATAAAGACCACTCGTTCGGGTGACCTTTTTTCATATCGTTTTTTTTGGTTGGCCTTTCCCTCAGGGTTTGACTGAAATTGTAAAGGGCCGACTTTAAAGGGAAAAAGGCAAGCGATGAAAAAATAAAAATTTCCTGACTTTCTTTCCCAGATAACTGAAATGGGCTTTGATTTTTTGTTTAATGCCCGGACAAAAAAAACCCCCCGAGTCGAGTAATTTAAACGGTCAGTGTTGGGTTTAAAACCAAAAATTGTTTTAATAAAGGGCGAAAATAAAATTGTGTTTTTGTTTAAAGCTATCTATGGTTGATATTGGCGTTTCAAAGCAAATTGTATCAATTGAATATAGTGTATGCATTCAACATTTATCATATTCGATGATAATTCACATACGTAAATATTTAGAGTAGAAATGATATAGAAACTCTAGTCACAAGTATCTAAAGATACGTCCAATATGTAAACATGTCACGCTATCTTTTCCAATTTTGAATGCTAAGCCTATGAATATATATACTCCTTTATGTGACAAAAGATAAATTGCGAGTAAATTTATCAATTGAATCATTCGTGTTATAATATAAAACCACCGCTACTTTTGAGAGGCAATTTAAGAACGACTGAATAAGATCAATAACTGAGATTTGTAAACTGATATCAATCTTTTTTAGAGTTATTTTAAACTTTTTATTAAAAAAAAGAAAAAGTAAGGCACATCATAAGTATGCTGCTTTGATCAATAAGAAAACATTAAAAGTTAAAGGTGCGCGTGATTGTTCAATTTTATTCATTGTATTAATTATTCAATAACGGCCTTCAAAGGTAGGGCGGCAAATTTGACAAAAATGCATATCGGAAGAGAATAAAGATATAAAGATTAAGAAAATATACACAGAAAAAGCGTCCAGAAGAAGAAAGAACTACATGTCTGTTTAATACAAAAACTTAATTGATTTGTATAGTAGGTGGAATCGATTAATCAGATTTCCCTTTTAATTGCACATTGTAATTCAAAATGTCGCCCCTGTTTCTTCAAAGATCAGCGTAATAATTAATAAAGAACCAGGTTGAATATGGGTAGGGGTATGATGGCAAAGAGGGGGGGAATGGGATTTTTCTTCCTTTAAAAATAAATTTTCTTCATTTTTAAAAAGGGCGTTTTAAAAATCAGATCTTTTTTCTAATAAATTTTTAGAAAAAGTTTAAAAACCCTTTTTTTAAATTTTTAAAAGGGGGATCCCAAATTGAACGTGACACGCGGGTATAAATAACTGTGGGGCAACAAAAAAATTTAATTTCCCCCATTTTTAGCTCAAAAAAAAAATTTGCACTCAACCCCGGGCCCCGCTTTGGTTTTTTCCCCCGTCAAAATTTTGGGAAAAATTTTTTTTTTTCCAAAAAAAATTGGGGGGGGAAAAAGGGATAAAATTTCCAAAAATTTTTTCCGTAAATTCAAAGCATAAGGGGCCAAAAAGGCCCAAAGAACTCTGAGTTAACCTTTTTACAAAGTTTATCCCCTTTTTCCTTCCGTCATGCACTGCGATTTAGACGAGCAAGATGTCTTACGGAGAGCTCTTGTTATATTCCGAATTTAAAATGGAAATGGAAACTTCAAACGAGAGTTTTCCGTTTTTAATACAGATTTCTGAACTACACCCGAATGTGATATACGAGCAACGTAGCTTTGTTTGATAAATTAAATTAAATTGAATTAAATAAACTATATACATGTACGACCGTCATATCACAAAAAAGTATATAACTCGTCTGTATGGGTATCATAAAAATGTTGAAACTGACTTAATGCGACAATTAACTTTAAAACTAATTTCATTTTTTTTGTGTGTAAAATAATCAAAACATGAACAAATTAAATGAAAAATTTGGGTATTGGAAAATTTGGGAGCAAAAGGGTAGTTAAAAATTTTTTTTTGTCTATGTAAAGTGCCGGGAGGCTGTTTTAAAACCCACCTTTAAATTTTTTTTTGAAAAAAAACCGGAAAACCCTTTTTGCAAAATTTGGAGGGAAACAAAATTTAAAACCCCACATTTAAAACCAAGCTTTTTGGTGCATTTTAAATGAGGAAAAGGTTTTTTTTTAAATTTACAATAAGAACATTTAAAACAAAAATGATAAAAAATTTGAATTTTTTAAAAAATAAAAATTTTAAAATTGGTTTTACACATAAATTAAGGGTTTTTTTTTGTCTTAAGTTAGAAAATGATAACCCTCTGGGCAAATATCAAAAATTTTAAAGGTTTTTCCCTTTTTTTTAAAAATTTTTCTTGGTTTTTGTATTCGCCTATACCTTCATAATTTCCATTTAAAGTACGTAATTTGATATGTGTGTTTTTGTTATTCTTAAAGTTGCACTTTAGAAATGTGTAAAAATAGTTTACCGCCGGAGTTTCTCATGTAAACATAAATTGTACATTGAGGAGTTTACATGCAGTTCTACTTATATTACTAATTTTTGTCGTGTGAAAAAAAATAATAATAAAAAAAAATAATAAAATAAATAAAATAAATAAATAAAAAACAAGAAAATAAATAAATGAAAATGATATTTTAACATGGATCTTGAATAGCAAGCCTGCTTTGAGACCTGATAACGTTGACCTTCAGCGAATATGGAATACTATATACACTATAATTTTCATAAGCATTTCATTTACCATAGATGAATGACCTTTTCATTTATTTAATTGAAATAAAAGTTTGCTCAATAGATTAAGGTTTTCTTTCTTACAGGATAATATTGTTCCATACGATTCAAAATTCGATTTAAATTAAACACAAAACATATTATTAGCTTAAGAAACATAATCCCCCCCACGTGTCAACATTACAATATTGTAACAATAAAAATTTATGTTTACTTTTAATATAATATTTTATGTATTTAATTATTCTGGCTACAATTATAATATTATCTTATTAACGTTTAAAGGCCCATTATGCCTCAGAAATGCTATTATTATCATTTTCCAAACGTTTCTATTTTTTATTTTGGTGCCATATTAATAGTTGCATAAAAATATTACTTATTGGCCATTTCCATGAACCAGCCTTCGATGATTTTATTTTTGAAACTAGGACAGCAATTATTATAGGGATTTTAAAAATAAGTAGTTTGTATTGAAGTCAAAATACTGTTTTGTTCACATTTTTCTACGTTTTGTTTAAAAAACAAAGTCACATTACGCACTACGTCCTTCATGTAATAAGCTCTTAAACCATTATCTAAAAGTTGTAAAATTCTAGTTTGCCTTTTCTAACGAAGGTAATACTTGTTCGTTTCTGAGGCATAGTCTGCCTGTTATTTATATATTTACTAAACTAACAGAACTGGAAATCAAATCAAACGATAAGCAACTTTTCACAATTTATCGTCATTTAATTTAAATATTCTTTATCATATGATATGGTTTCACATTACACTTCCGTACAACTCCCTTTTTGCAAGTTTTTTTTTTTCGATTTATCTCATAATTATACTTTCAGTAACATTTAACATTAACTTATTGCATATGTATTCATTTTTGTACTATTATGATTTAGGTATTGGGCGGAGCCTCGAATGCGGTTGCAAAAGTTAAGGCTTATGTCGAACAAGTTGAAGCGAAACTTGACGAACTGAGGAGTTGTCCACAAACATTAGTGAAGAAGAACCAAGATGCCATTGAAAAAATATTTGGTAATGCCATAATTAATTGTGAACATCGAACATTTAGTTAAGCTAATGTCTAATAACGTCTATATGTATAAAATTGACACATTTCTCTGGATGAAAAACACCATTTAAAATAAATATCAATATTTTGTATGTTTTTATTATACTCTTATTAAGCAATAAAGCTTTTATTTTTCATCAATTTTTCAAAGTATTCTCCGGTTTTTTCTTCTTCGTTTTCTAGATTAGACTGTTTATTTTACAGGAACATTTGTACCCGGTGAAGGTGGACCGATTAGAAAATCTGCGCTTGCTAAACTTGAGATGGCTCATAAATTACAGAATTTATCAAAAGATATAATAAATGATCGTCTTAATGAATTGATACAAGAAACAGAAATTGTCTGCGCGAAGTTAAAAGATGGCACAGATGTTTGGTATGATGACATAGACAATCTGAAAGGTTGCCTCCAAAGTTGGAGAGATGCAAAAGCAAAAAGTTTCGAAGAAGAGGAAAAAGAGCGATTGGAGGAAGAGCGGAGAAAAGCTGAGGAACAAAGAAAAAGGCGTGAAGAAGAAGAAAGGAAACGAAAAGAAAGAGAAGAACAGGAAAGAAAAGAAAAGGAAGAGCGGGAGAGAAGGTTTATTTACAATTATACATATAATTTTCTATTTAAATGCTTTATACGTACTTCGGTATACTTCGGACATTTGTCCGGACATTCTTCTATTTGGTTACACACTATTTCACACTTTTTATTGCGAGACTAGGTCGTTCATGTAAGCATGGTATTTGATGTAAGTTAAACATAAATATTTAAAAAAGTTTATAAGTATGCATGTGCATTTATGAATCGTATTTTTAAGTCATAACATTTTTTTAAATTATGTTCCGGTTTGTTGTGCCAATATTGAGTTTTAATATACATGTAATTATAATAATTGAAATGTAATGAAAGACATTTAAATGGTATCTGAAGTATAACGCATGTGATATTAGGTATAAGGTTTGATATATCCATCGAAACGAAAGCAGTTTTCAAAATGGATTATAAGTAAAAGAATGTTAGGTCTTCCCATCCCAGTTAAGATGTCAGTGACCTTAGACAATGCTGGTGCGAGGTAGCCCTCCACCACAGCATCCCCGTCCTCCAAAGAAGTACAAAAGTGATTTTATTTAATAGGGAAAGAGAAGAAGCCGAGCGAAAGGCTGAAGAGGAACGAAAACGAAAAGAAGAAGAAGAAAGACTGAGGAAAGAGGAAGAAGAAAGGAAGAAACGAGAGGAAGAGGAACGCATCAGGGTAAGTTTACTATTGAGTTACTTGTGGCCATAATTTCCAATAAGTCTATTTGATATGCAGACGCGAAACAGAAGTTTGCCTTTTGCGGATAGTTTAAGACTAAATGTGAAAATCCTTTCGAAAATTTAATGTCAGGCACGCATTTAAAGATCAATAACTTGTGATGGTAATTTGTCAAAGAGAGATGAATCAGCAATTGTGCTCCGAAATATTTAACCATTTGCAGAACTCTAGCAATAATTCAATCTACTTAGATAATCCATGTAAATGTAACGCTACAAGTTTATAAGTGATGGTATAAGTGAATCGTGTAACTTGCACGGTCATCACATCATTTTTGTAATTTAAAATGGAATTATACAGTTATATCAGTTTATACAATTGCGTTTTTACTGTTACTGTATATCACCATTCTATATTTTTTGACAGAGGGAAGAGGAAGAAAAGAAAAGACGATTAGAGGAAGAACGAAAACGAAGAGAAGAAGAAGCTGCCAGGAAGAAAGAGGAAGAAAGACAGCGTTTAGAGGCTGAGAGAAGAGAAAAAGAACGATTAAAGAAAGAAGCAGAAGAAAAGGCATGGAGAAGAGACCCAAATAATTGGGATCCTGTAGCGTAAATAATATCTTTTATATTTGTGAAATACATGTACAAATAAACAATGCAGTTTGTAACATTACAGATTTGAGCTTTGAATACGTCTTTATGCTTCTGCAGATCTTAACGCATGGAAAAAGATGCAACCCTCTATTGTGTAACGTTGTATCTGAAATACAAACGATGCTGCAAGATGTTACCTTACTGAAAAACTAAACACTTTTTTCAAGCTTTATTTCATTTATAGATATAACAGAGACTGTGGCGAAGTAGATGGAAAACGTGCATACCATAATGGTATATCGTGTGTCATGGCCTCCCCACCAGGTGGTATCGGCAAAGATGACCTCGAATGCAGTGCAAGTGATGAAGTTGATTCAATTATAGAAGTCCTTGAAACCGACGAGAAACCTGTGAGCTCTTTAATCGAAATAAAGTCTACAAAAGGGACGCTTAAAACAGAGGTATTTTTCTTTCAAAGTATAATATAAACAAATAAATTACCACAAACACGAACAAACTCAATGACACAGAACATGCAACATTTTCACTGTATCGTTTCGTACGTTTCTGTTTTAAGATTTTGTTTCTCTCTATTTCAATAAAATAGCAATTATTAGTATAAGAGCTCGGCTTGTTCAAAGTCTTATATAGGCCTAAACTTGGGATTGTTCCCTTGAATCTATGCACAATAGCTACAAGACCACGTTAACTATAATAATTGAGAGCCTAGCCGCATTATTGTACGAACGGGAAACTGTGTTTATGCTCACATTTACATTAGCTCTTATTCACAAATATTCAATTCTATTATTATAGTTTATTTATGTTTCTTAAGGTTAGGTATACATATACATGCATAATAATACGTGTTTTACTACCAAATGAATGTGCTTACTATTGACATAGTTTTACTTGGCAGATAATGTTTAATAACATGTACTCTAAACTTTTGTTATAGGTACCATCCAGACTCTATATTCCGAATTACTCTCTGTATAGTTCAAGTGACGAAACTGTGGTTAAAGTTTCTCTGAATGGGGCAGACTGGATAATTGTCGCACCATTGCCGACGACATCTAAAATGGAAGAGCAAGAAGTATGCTTCATTTAGAAAATATTCAATATACATTTGGTCTGCGTGTTACATTTTCTCATTAATTATATTATTATATCGTTATTATCTCACGATACCAGAAATAGAATGTTCTATTGATGATAAATATCTAAAGAGTTATGATAGTGTAACGTTTTAACGTTTTTACTAAGCTAGGTTTTATTAAAGATTGTCGTTTACTGAAATGATTTTAGTGTTACTTGACTATTATATTAATTGTTTATATTACGACAATGTATTTTAGTTTACGGTACTTTACAATATACGTTTGGTATACGTATTTTCAATGAACGTTTGATATCATATAATGTAATAAACGTCTCAGTGATCAGGATTACTTTAATCAGCCAATGAAAATAAGTCATGCTTGAGCGATCATCTCAGCAGGTATAAATACGACGATTAGAGCAAAATTAATCAGTCTGCAGAGGAATTCACCGGGACCAGGTTACTTTATGTAATTGAAGCCTCGCTTCATACATAGAGGATAACTTCGTCTACCTAACTGAAGCCTAGCTTCATAGGTAGAAAAGAAGAATTGGCAAAACTAAATACCTTGTTTATCCCAAATTTAAGCCTAGCTTCATGGATATAGTTCGTTATAGTTTATTGTGAAATTGTAATTTCTGACTTCGGCTACTTATAGACCACCACATTTCCTGAAAGCCTCGCTATCAGAAAATCCGGTAACATATAAGGTATTAAAATCCAGATTAGATTCCGAATAAGCTCTTGTATAGTTGGAATTTGCAATTACAGCAAATCTTTCGTATCTAAATAGAGTTTCCTAGAATAGGGGCAGTATGCTGGCATAAATTTGGTCGCACGTTGCGAACTAATTCTAAATGAATCTGTAAGTTATATTTGAAAATATCAATATACTATTTGGTCCTTTTAGAATTATCTCAGTGTAATTATATTTTATATTGTTATAAACTTTACAACCAGAAATAGAATTTTATGATGATAATAAATAAGAGTTATGATAATAAAAGGCAGAAATAACCTTTATGAAATGCCAAGAGAGGCTTTACCATCCTCCAAAATTATAGCTTGACGATACTCCTAAACATAAGATGTTTGTATCAATTGTTGTCGATTTCTGATTGTAAGGGATGATTGATTCCGTCACACTAAATGTTAAGGATCAAATACAGCTTAAGCCGGTGCTAGGAGACATGAGGGATGTTGCCAATTCCTCATGAAAAGATTCAATCAAACCGAGTCTACATTTTCTATGTAATTACTTCCTAAGGATCTCCCCTTATCCAGATTTTTGTTCTCCAAAGTTAAATGTCAATTTTATATGTTTGAATGATATAACAACATTGGTTCCAATATTTCAAAGATGTTACTTACTAGTAGTGGGAGTATGCAAAGGGCGGGCAATAAGGCACTAAAGGTGATGTACGTTTCATTGCATTTGTAATGCATAATTGTTCATTTCTTAAACAGTTTCTTTCATGCTATATATTATACTTTACGACAATTTTAATATTTTCAGAAACTGGTGAAGAAGCTTGCAGGTATTGACGTTAATGACTTCTCGTCTCTCAAAGTAATTGTTGTAACTCGGCCGAGATGTCAAAATATCATAGTTGACAGACCTGGAATTTCAGTATACTCTACGATGGATAAGAATGTTAAACTCTTTGTTCCTAGAAATGCTTTTGAGACCAAAACGGAGCTAAAACTAATGGTTTGTACTGCGCTGATTATAATAAAATGATCTGGAACTTCAAGGCACGTTTAGCGCCAGATATGAATAAAGTTTTCTCGCTTTAAAGAGAACAACATTTGTTTTCCATTGTTGTAATAATGGATTTATATGCTGTGACATTCTAATCACTGGAAGAAAACACTAAAAATGACAAAAAATGATAGCATATGTGTGGCTTAATTGGGCCTTTTGAGTACACAGTTACGGATTAAATTTCTTTAAGATTTCATATTCACTGAATGTTGAAGCAAAAACTTGTTACTTCCATATTTATGTTATACTGATAAATTTTCTTTTCCTGCGGCAATGTTTCACTGTTAAAATAATTTTATTCGGTTAAGCAACTTTACATTACATTTTGACAATAGTGCTTAGATTAAGTAATTTGTCATGAAGTTAAAATGATCATAATTAAACTAACATTATTATTATTATTTATTATTATTATTATTAGGTACAATCGGTTTCTGACAATTCGCTTTCATCTTTTGTGAAAGATAACTCAGAGTTAGAAAATATTCTTGCTGTCAGTTCGGTTGTAACTCTGATATGTGGAAGACACCCGAAAAAAGCGATCGAGGTAGACTTGATAAAATCATCTCAGAAACAAAGTGAGTTTGTAAATGATAACAAGATAACAAGAGTTACAATGTATAATGATACCTATGACATATACATGTAGAATTAGCTTATTCTATTATATATTTGCTACTAATTATATAAAACAGGATATTTTTATAAAACATGATATTTTTATAACACGTTTATTATACGTGCAAACCTGTTACAATTGCACATCCATATATCTATGTCATTGCCTTCTAAAATCAAAATAAAAAATATTTTTGCGTCACGTATGTATACACTTTACCACTATTTCAGGCAATGGAAAATTTCAACGTGGAAAGACGTATCAAATGTATACATCGAAGGACAAGGTATGGAAATTCGCTGATGTTGAATATAAAGGTCACCAAGACGATCTGACAGTGATGCTTCCGCCTGGCAGAGAAAAATATACGTACGTTTATTTGATTAATGTCGACTTAAATAACTAAAAGCATTTATGAAGGCTTTTTATAGTTTATTTTTTTATTTTCAGCAAATTATATTGCTAAGATTGTCGAGATATTATATTTCATTACAATTACAGACACCCGTACACATCATACACATTATTTTGTTTCTCATTGTATGACTCCTATCAGAATTATATCTTTTATACAGCGTCATGGAGTTAGATATGCCATCAAGTTTTCCCAAGGAAAACGTTCCACAAATAGCAGAGGCCTTGCACATGTGTATTAACAAGACAGCGGTTGTAATGGTCGCAAAACAGCACGAGAATGATTTGAAGAAATGTGAAGTGAGAATCATCAGACGGGATATTTTGAAAGACACAATGATATATCTCTCTGAAAATGGATACACTGAAGGTAAAAATAATTGAAAGCATTTTGAACATAATAACAAAATTTGGTTGAAATAGTTGTTAAAATTATATTTTTCCTTTTGAGATTGTCCTGTAGTTACCATGATTTGGCATATCTTATTTATTTAATCGGCACCTCAGATTATATATTATCCCTTTTAATCAGCGTATCACCCTCGCACTGTGTAAAGACACACATTAGGAGGAAATAGGTGAATATCAGTGTTTGGTCCGTTCGTCTGTCCGTCCGTCACACTTGGTGTCAGATCCATAACTCAACCATTCATTTAGATATTTTGAAATAATTAGCATACATTCATACATCGCACTTTTGAAAGAGTGCAATTGTGTGTTTCATGTAACATTTCCCGAAGGCGGGGTACTATTGGTAACTGTTTTTTACAAGTTCTTGTTTACACAGATTAATTTTTATCAGTACTGATATAACACCACCTTTACTAACTAATCAAGAAGATCATGGTAAAGTAATTATACTGATTTGTGATAAATGGACATGTTGTATTTTGTATTCGTTGTATTTATAATTTTCTGATTCAAATACATTTACCAATGGCCAAAACGAGACGATTGGCAGTGCTTTATTATCAATCTTAATAGTTTACTTAAGAAGGGAACATTTTGATGCCCAAATCAACACCATAAGCTTTTAAACCTGCACAGGTTTTGTTACACTTCGGTCTCCAAGTTTTTGAGTGACACTATTGGTTACCCCTTTATTGATGATATAGGGACCATTACCCTTTCATTCTGATATATGAGCAAATATTTAAAATTTCAAAATGACATTCATTAAAAAATGGATTTAAGGATGCAAAGATTAATCTTAAATATTGTTGACATGTTTATTATATGGAAATATAAATTAGTTACTTATACATATCTTATGACGAATATCTTGTATATATCCTATAATGAAAGCATTACATCTATAGCTTATTTAGCTTAAATTTCCTTAATTGTGTTGAAAAGTAGTTGAAACATTTTTAACAATAGCTACATTAAATAGAATAATAATTATTATAAGACATTGATTAAAACCTTGTTAAACAAAGAATTGGATTCAGCTTCATTAAATTAATCATGCACACATTTAAATATACAATTGTGTTGATTCAAAAGAATATATAATTTTATGCTTTTCATATGTTTCATCTCTGAACCTTTCAGGGCCTGAACCAAGCGCCGAGTTCAATTTACAAGAAGGTCAGCAACTAGAGATTATCTGTACTGGCAATATAGAAGATGAGTCAAAAACTGATACTAATGTAACATTTTATTTATTTTTCTTTATTATCTGTTTAACAACTTTGTTGTAAAATTAAGGCCAAATATTTTCGTACATGGCTTGTAATGGTCTTTGTAAATACAAATGACGATCAAGGAGCTCGACTTAGGTACAGAAACCTATAAACATAAGAATTTGAAATTATTACAAACACATATATCCAGCAGGTCACTTAAAACGAAAAATATGCAAACGATAATAAAGAGATATATTTAGTATTAACTTGAAAGTCGATTTTTACTGCGATTTTAAGTCGAATTTGAGATTAAACATTTAAATGGTTTCCTTTATGGTCAAAAGTAAATGATATTTTTTGGAAAAACGGAATGAGCGAATGAAATTTTGTACACAAGTTATTGGTTTAGACTTAAATTAGATTGTGCACAAATCTCATAAAATAAGTTAATACAAAAAGAAAAATAAAGAAAACAATAAAAACAGCAAAAAACATCGATACCTCAGTGTAGTCTATATAATACCTACATCTATTCACAAATGTAAAAAAGAAACACAACAAAAACAACGTAACTAAAATGCACAAACAAATCATTCTTTCTTAAAACAATTTTGTAATGGAACACGATAGTAATCAAATAACTATTGAAGCGGACTATTAATTGACGTTGAACTGGTGTTCCTTTCTTTCCTCGTGATTATATATAATTTCTTTCTAATATGATATAATATAATGGCATCGTATGACACATCATAATGTCCAAGTAGACGCAAAAGGGAAAATAGCTTTCTGAAAAATATCTTATCCGCATTTTGCATCTTTATCTTGTTGTTATAAAATGACAGGATATTCAAAGAAACAAATAAGACAGAAGAACAATACAAATTTGACACTTAAATGTCAATACGAGTATTGCTCATCTTTCTAAAATATGTCTATACTTTTCTCTTTGTTAAAATGATATGTATCCTGGCATAGTATATTTACATACAATTATCTTTGATTTTCCAGGAAAGATTAACGTATTTGTCCTACATGGGTGGAATAACGGGAGCACTGTCACTACGAATCAAGGATACTTGGAAACAGAAGGATCTTCCAGCGTATGTTGGTACACTAAGATGTACAGTATTTAAGAATACAGCATCTTATGACTCGTCGTTGTCACGTTCAGTAGAGTTAACAATATCCTTACCAAAGGTTTGTGTCTCGTTTGCCTGTTTTATGCTTTTACTTAAATAGCAGATTGATTTACCAATTGGCAAATTATTTGAGAGAGACTTACTCATCAAACAATGGCATTTTATATCTTTTTTAATCATATAAAATAGCTAGATACCTTTTGTTTTAAGATTCGGTTTTAAAGTACAAAACATAATTTATCTTTACTTGAACGAGACTTCAATACACCAACCGATCCTTCAAATTAATTTAATATTTGTGTTGTTTGCTTTTTTATTGCTTTTGATATCTCCTCTTTTTAAACTTTTTGTGTTAACTCACTTATTCACATTCCAAAATAACTAATATTAATAGAGCATTTAGTCAATGAAATAAAAATGATAATACGATTTTATATTATTTAACAGAAATGTTCTATCTTTTTACTAATAATCTTTCAGCCAGTAAGGCCGCGAACAGCAATAGGCGTTGCAAGAGTCAGATTCCCTTATTACTGTAAGTTAAAAGCTCTCTCTTTCTGTCTTAAAATGAAATAATAAACATCATTGTCACCATTATTGTACCGGGAAAGATAAGCATTATCCTTTCTCTTATTCATTTAAACAAATTCACACTTAGCTTGATTTAAGAAATACTCTGCAGCGTTGTCTTATATCTTTGTAAATCTATGTCTGTGTTATTTCAGTGACATCATTGACATCATATCTTTCTCATATGTTGCTTAAAGATGACAAACATATTTGGGAATCCGTCTTGAAGTCATTACTTGGTGAATCCGAATTTAGTTCTGGGCACAGAATAGCTAAGAGAAAGTTCGTAGACGATAACGAAGAGCATATTTGCAAAGCAATGCTTTTGGACTGGATGAAAGCAAAAGTTGTTCACGAAGATAAGGTATAACATAATTGATATAGCTACGCCAGATACTAGTATGCCATAGTATGCATATTTGTTTGCAATACCGTCAACAATAATACAAATGTAACAGAGCTTACGATACATACTTTAGTAAAAATGGTACATGATTCAAAATAACTAGACTGTCATACTAAAGAATAATATGTAGGTATTTCGTTAAAACCTAATCTCCAAGAAGTGAGGAATTATACATTCACATTCATTTATTTTGTACAGTTGCATCCGATAACACATGCCTTGAAGTATAATGGACAAAAAGACATTGCTGAGTTATGTGTGCATTTTGTCAATTTCCAGAAAGGTAATTAACAGGTCAAGAAAGTGCTGTATTTTGACTTTTTTATATTTCTTATAAAATGATGCGGTTGTATTTTTGTTTGTTATTCGGCAGTTCATTTAGATATAGAAAAAATACCAAATTCAATGTTAACCGCATTTCTTTTTATACTGATGTAGTGATTGTCAGTCTGTAAATTTGCCAATCATGCGTCTTCCCACGGAAATGTTTAGTCTAATATTTAACTTTTAATCTCACTTCAAGTATATATTTTCAAGTTCGAATGTGTGATAACGAATTACTACAATAACTCAATGACTTCTTTACAAGAATGTATAAGAGAACGTCAAACTTAACAAATCTGTTCGCGTCTTTAGATTTATATACATATATTGATTTGACCCTGCACTGTCTAAAATGAATTCGAACATTAGATTGAATAAGCCTCCGTCCATATTAATATTGATACTGTAATATATATGTATGAACAGAACATCTTTCGGATGCCGTAATGACAGAGATAGCGAATAGTGCAACAATGGATCCCCGTACGTTAGGACAACAACTTGATCTAGACAGCAAGGTGATCGCAAACTGTATCAAGCAGCATCCAAACGACACAAAAGGTCAATGTTCCGCCATGTTAATGGAGTGGAGGGAGACAGATGGAGTTATCAAACACGGCGAAGATGCACAGGAATACTTGAGAACCGTATGTAGTTCGAGTAGTTCGAGTCAACAAAACATTATCACCAATGATAGTCACGATGATGACTTAAGAAGCGACGAACCTCATGTCGACGATGAAGCTGATCAGAAAGAACAAGAAGAACAAGGAGATGGACTTCACGAAGAACAAGGAGATAGACTTCACGAAGAACAAGGGGATAAACTTCACGAAGAACCAGGAGATAGACTTCAAGAAGAACACAAAGATACAAATCACGAAGAACAAGGAGAAAGGCTTGAATGATTCAATGCTAAATAAAAAGCAATCCCCAAAAATCTAAACACAATATATGAAACCCGCATACTGGAAACTCTATCAATAAATTGACAATGCCAAACTTTACTGATGAAAGATAACGTGATTGTGATTAGGTAAAAGAGGAACACAACATATGAAACAATGTTAAATTTCCAGGTGATACAAAGGCTGAGCCATTGAAAGCAATGTTATATGTATGTATCTTCGGGGGAAGGGTCAATAACTGATAAATTTCACAAAAAGTATCTTTTAAGATACAACATTTACATTACTAAACACAATTTTCTTTCAATTGCAAGAACTGTCTTGAAAACTGTTTCCATTTTGCGTTTTAAAAAGTCATCGTTCGTTTACAACAATAATCATACACATGTATTAACAATAATTTATGCCATTTATGTTCAACGGATACATAAATCTATAAACATATTTAGCCATAAAAGCATTAATTTTTGTATAACATTGAATTATTTTCAGTAACGTTAGTTTAAAAGGAATAAGGCATACGGAATATCTCCTTTCGATCTAAAATCTAAACATCTCAGTAATAATCCTAAAGAAAACTGAAAATTGCTTTATAAAACGAAAACGGCGAAACATTAGTCGGGTGATTTTGAAAAGATTTGTATAAATCAAATGATCATTATTCATTAATTATTTATACATGGTTCAATTATTCATGAATCTCTTGCTTATTTTTTCATTAATCTATTGATTACGAAATAACATTACTAACTGCACATTGTTATTGAGTCTTTCTTTTAAATCATATATATTGTCAAATGTACAGTAACATTGTTTTTTATTATCAAAAGCATCAATTTTCGTCTGTACAATTTATAAGTGATTTTTATATTTCTTATTTATAAACATATTTTATACATAATAAATGATATATAACCAGTTATATTTTTCTTTTATATTTTTGTATTATACAGTTGATGATATTACCTATATTGATATGTCCATATATAACATTCTATGGCAATATCGACTTATTTTGTTTACAGCTGTATTGCATTTAAAAACTTATAAAAAGAAATCCCCGATTTTATAATAAATCACTGATACAGTACAGTAAAATGCTGTATGTATACGTCCGTATTGCAAAACATATTGGCATTAATGGTTGGTGCTAGAAAATGAATGTGCCGGTAAACTTTTACAACCCTGTTTTCTTCTACAAAAAGATTAACATTTGATTAACAAATCACCAACTTCAGTTGATAGAATAGAAAAAGAACCTTTTATATATGTAATCGGTTGAGGAAATTAAAATTCATCTTTTCCTATACGTGTATTTTTAAATTCCGCACTTAAAATAATTTTATGCCTCATATGGTGACGAAGCAATTCCACAGTCTTTATTCTATGCTTCAATGGACTGGGTCTAATTCCGAACCAGGTTGAGACCACTTTTCAGTTTTTGCTCAGCATAGAAAGCCAATATAAATATATCGAAGTTGCGGACACGGGTTTATTAGGTTTAGTTTAAAGAAAATGAAAATTTCAGTATCGCTATGGTTTAAGCTTGACCATTATTCAATAGTCAATGATGTTGAGGATCCAGATGTAATAAAGCATGACAGATTAATGTAACAACTTAGCATTGTTGGCACTGCAAAGCTCACACAATAAAATTATCCTGTATTTATTGTTCTATTCTTGCTTTCTGATGCTTTGTAGAACGACGTCTTCCCCAACTTAAATACATTCACATAAGAATAACAATTCAGAAATAGAGTGAAAACAAAAAGGTTTATCTCCCGTTGACCACGGTCATTATAAACTTAACGTAAAAGGCGATTACGTTCCTTTAACAGTCTCTCTCTCTCAATGAAAAGGCTAATGACGCGTTCTGAATGCGCTCTGATTCTATTTCTACCTTCTGCAAAATGGGCGTAGGTGGTGTATATACTAGGCGTTTTTTAGAAACAATTTCCCGTTCATCTAACGGGGCTCTTATTTCATTCATTGAAACAGTTTTGTACGTTTCTGATTTCTTCGTAAGAGACGGAGGTTTTTATTCATTTTTTTCATTTTTATTTTTTCATATCTACCGTATGAATTAAGGTAGAAAACTACTCGTTTCGTGCACATTTCGTTATGAAATTTACTGCTTTTGTTATTCAGGTTTGCTTCAAAACGTTCGCAGCGATTTTGGCATGTCATATCCTCTTACATTCTCGTTTGATCCGCAAATTGGTTTGTATGCAATATCAAAGTAAAATACATATCTACTACCGAAAATGCTTAGAACTCGACAAATTCTTGAAGTTAGAGAACATTCGTGCATAACGGTTCACTGTAGTTTGCAAACACATCATACAATTTTCGGCGAACCATTTCTGCGACAGCGATCATTGTTTCACAACCATTTGGAAAACTGTTTGCATCTAAATTTACGTAGAAATACACACGAAAACGCAAACATTTATAACATACATTTTGTGACTGCCATTTACGCTCGATTACAACAAATGGCATATATTCTAAACGCAGGGTGTATTAGCATTTTCACAAGACATAACATATAATAATCGGTAAATTATTGCCGTCACTATGACTATTGTTGTCGAATGCTCAATGATTTCTGACAGAACAAAGAAGGGAAAGAATCAATCACCAGTTGAGCAAAATGTTTTTGATTTATAATTCTAACAGAGAAAACCAATCAACAATTGAGAAGTATGGTTTTGATTTATAATCAAGTATCATACAGAACATATTCAAAACAGACCCTATCAGTGAAAGACCATCGCAAAGTGGGCATGAAAAGTGGAAACAGATATCTGTTATATAGCATTTACAATTTGTTTACATTTTTAGTTTCATAACGTAAATTAGACCGAATGCTTTCTATTGTGATCGAGACCCTTATCCGAAGACTCACGAAAAGGGCCGAGAAGCTGCGATTGCTATTTGAACAAATGATCAGTTTTGATGGTATACCTATAATGATATAGAATTACATGCATCTTCATGGACGAAGCTCTGTAAACAATATATGAAATACTTTTCTGAAAAGAAAGAACATCAGCTTGGGGGTCTATTTCACGAATACCTGTTTGATTGGCGATTTACAGCATTTTTGAAAATGCTAATATTTTAAAAAGAATAACGCATTATTCACAGTGTTATAACAAATAGTGCAGCTCGGAGACATATGGATATACTGTTGACTAATAATTAAAGACATGTCATTTTGTCAGTCATTTTGTATTTTCTAATAGAAATTTTATACAATTAATAATTATTAATCAAAGATTTCGTCCACGGATAAAAACTTTTGTTTTCTTACTTAATATCACCTTTCGAACGTTATGTGTTTAAATCGTTTAATATATCATTGTAAGAAATAGAACATTGTCTGTATTTATATGAAATGTATAATTTGAGATAATCAGTGCATTTGTTGTTGTTAGCGTAAAGTTCATTCTAAGTTCATATGGTTTAGTTTCAATAAGACCATTTTATCGAATAATTGATATTTAATGAAATAAGTATAAGTTCAATTGGTAATTCCAGTGGGGGAAATGAATCAACGGCGTTTATGATATATTTCATTGATAACTGATAACTAACTCTCTGAGGCGCTAGGTCTACTTATTCTATTTAAATTTGCGTCTCATTGAAAATAACTTCTCGTTACAATCGTATACCTGTGGTTAATATACGAATAGGAAACATGAATGGATTAGTACTAGTTGTTCTGCTTTTATGGAAGTCGTCAATTATGTGCATTGACGCATCTTTTCTAAATTTAGGTAAATATTACCTTTAAAGTCGTTAAATAAGAAAAAACATACATAGCGGATACTACAATAATTCAATGTTTCAAGGCTCAGTTACTTTATATTTATTTAATATCTAGCGAGCGTATTTATTGAAATTGATTGAACATTATGAAAATAAACTGCGAATTTAGAATGTCATTTCCGTCTGTGATGGAATTATTATAAACGGAAAAAGTCAAGCGCCGATGCTTTAAGAGCAAATGAGATACATTTATGGAATATTACAGCATGATAAATGGTCACAGTAAATTATTAAAACTTTATAATGAGATTTTAATTATTTTTTAACCCAAATAAGTGTTTGCTATAACTATTTTATAGATAAAACTTTTTTTTCATTTAATTTATAAAAGTTAAATCAAAATACATACACTCAACGAAACTTATAAGTACTCCGACCATTTTTTTTATTATATTGTGTTAGAATAACTATAACTTGTCTAAGTCGATACTGTATAAATTTTAATTATAGTATCATCATTTTATAATAGTAAATGCATTTTACAATTACTCAAACTTAACAGAAAATCAGTAACTGAGATCACCATTGTAAAAAAAATCAAAAACCTTCAAGTTTAGCCAATTTAGTCAATACCTCGTATGTCCTCCGTTTGCGCCGCCCTGTAATAGCCCAATGGCAATTCCTCTTTGTTGCAGCGACATTCGGGCCATTTTGTGTTTTTTATGTTAGGGCTACACAATTAGAGCGGAAGGGATCAATAAACTAACAATTTGCATCAAATTACACAATGTTGGCATCTTGCACGAAATGCACGTGCCCATTTTCGGGTTTTTGCATGTGACCGCCATATTGCGTTTCGGATGATTGATTTTGTTTTAAAATCATTCATGCAGTCGGAAAGTAGAGTCAGTACACATTTTCAACATTGATTTGGTAAATATTTTGAAAACAGGAGTTTTCCTGCAAGTTTGAAATCGGAGTACTTATAAGTTTCGTTAAGTGTATATAAAAGGGCATTGCTATATCTATTGTACAGGAATATGAAAGTTTCTTTGATAAAATCATTTACAAACTTTGTCGTAGTGGTGTCATTATTATATGATATATTTTACTCTTTCAAAAATGTTTGAAAGGTAGTAATACAATTAAATTCACTTCGTCTAAGGACAACAGAGATTCACAGACGCAGTTGTCGGGGGTAATTTGTTTCATAGTGATAAACGGGGGAGGTGAACATACATTTTAAATCGTATTGCTATATTATATATTTTGACAGGCATTGTTGAAGAAGGCACGACTGGGTTTTACAGGAGCACAGAAATGTTTTATTCGTATAATCTCACATTTAACAGATACGTTGTTGATATATACGAACACTTATCAACGTTCAAGGCAGTTTGTCATCTTTAATTTAACTTGTTTCAAAATGTTTGCAATAGTAACTGTTTCTACTATGAAGAGTACGACCTTAACAAAACACTCGGAAGGCAATAAGTGTTAAATTACCTTCAGTTTTTGAGAGAGCTGTTTTTTAAAACAGGTTTCTTTCTTCTATGTTTATCGCTAGATCTTACTTTCAGTATTTGGTTTTGTAATTAATGCATTTTTTATTGATACAGTTCTTTTTTCACCTCAGTTATAACCTTCGCGTGTTTAAGTGTAATTTGTTATTTGAAGCTTCACTTGAAATAAAAAAAAAAACATGCGACCTTCAGTATGGACCAGTTCTTTGATACATCTCTGCGAGATAGGACGTTACTGATCATTTATTTATATCATTGCGACAGAACATGGTCCTTGAAAAAAGACGTTTTGTCGTTAACAATGTCTGGAATATTACTGTTTAAATTTTGTTCGAGTAAATGGGTAGAACAATAAAGTTATTCAAATAAACAAACCATAAATATTACCCAATTAAATCTTTAAAGAACTTTCAAATTTAAACATTTGTTTTGTATAAAATTTAAAATTTGTTATATTGGCAATATTTTACAAAAACCCTAAAAAAATTGCAAGATCAAACATAACTTAAATAATTTAAAAAATACTAATTTTACCCCCGACAGAAACAGCTCATGAAATTTTTTTTAATTTAAACCACGAACCGTACCGCATTTTAAAAAAAAAAATTTAAAAAATTTTGAAATACTTTCGCCACAACCTTTTTTAATTTAAATTAAAGGGAAACAACGGGAACCCTTTTTTCCCTTTTAATTATTTAAATATTTCTTTTTTTTACCTAATATGTTGGGCAAATTTATCGGGAAAATATTCTTTTTTAAAAATCCATAGTTTAAATTTCCCATTATATACTAAGCCCTTATGTTTTTCTAAAATTAAAAACAGACATATGTTCTTATAATATTAACAAACTGATTATGCAATAAAAAATAGCTCAATATTTGGCAATCATAACGTTGAGTCGACACTTCAATAATCTTTATGTTATTATTTACAAGTACAATAGCTATATAGGTATGACGCAAATGAACGCTTGACAAACTAAAAAATATTTATTTGATGATATATCTGCATATTTTCAATAAATCAAATACGCTGGATGAAATGTGAGATGCTTTTCAGTATATGAATTAGACAAGAAGCACGGTGTTGATGTGATAGTAGTATTGCACGAAGGAAACGTTGAAACTTCCGGTATGAGGCCATCTGCACCACTGATACACTGGGGACGTACACCAAAGTATATAAATAAGGTAAAGTTTCAAGTATCCTGAAACGTTTATCGTTTAATATACTGGTAGCCTGGAACAGAGCAATAATTAAATAGTTATACATTTCTAGAAACAAGTAAACTATCATAATTAATGAATTTGTTATGGAAGCATGTACTTCTTTACGATTGTTAAAAAAAATTAGAATATTTTTGCCTTAATTATTATCTAGAAAGGAACAGTATGATGCACAAATGTAAAATAGGGACCTGCTGTTTTTTTATTGATATTTCAACCGAAGATTTGATGGATTGTTCTAAACGAGAGTTTTCACACATGTACGTTTAGCTAAACCAAATATTTCATACGTTTGTCTCCAATAACATATTGATAAGTTGACTCGCCACAGGGCACTATTGGTCATGTACTGCGTCAATTTGCTAATGAGATAAAAATCAGTAACTATATAGATACAATCGCGTTAAACATTTAACGCAACATTATATTCATTTGATTTGTAAACAATACAATCATTTTAATGTAATGGCAATTAATCATAATTATTGATAACGAGTGCGTGTATATTGTCATAACCTATGAAAATAATGAATTGTCCGCAATTAATCAGATATATCTGAGCAAAGTGAATTATTATCAGATTGCTTGACGATAAAGAAAGTTCGCAAATATTTATTGTCATAATTTATTAGTCGTAGAAAGATCACTTTCCCTCATTAAAATGTTATGTTATAAAAAGAGAAAAGAAAAAAAAAGAAAAAAAAGAACGAGAGGCCTTAAAAAAAGCGTAGACTGGACAGATGAAAATGTTGTAGGTTCGGTTTGTCTAATCATATGCAATGACGGCAGTAGTACATGCAATCTTTCTCTACTCCCCCTAGCACCACCTGAAGCAGAACCACTATTTATGCTTGAACACTGTGGACTAGGGATCATTAAAAAACAAAACATTCTGATATAAAATCTTATAACGCATTGTCCCAAAGTTATAAAAAATCACATTTGCCGACATAAAAAAGATAAAAAAATGTTCTATCTTTTAAAGTCATATGCATAAATTCCGTATTTGTTTTGGGTTGATATTAATGTACGTTTATGAACCCTTAGGGACCCGTTTCAAATTTTCTACAGTGTGAGTTGAATTTATTATATTTCATGTTTCGATAAACTGGATAACACTAAAACCCCCACTTTTCTTTTTAAAAAGATGTAGGCATACAAAAATTATTGAAATTTTTAAAGATTCCCTGGGTTTTAAATCTTATTAAAAAAATGGGCCAAAAATCAATTTTAAACTCTTTTGGAAATTAAAATTTAATTTTTCCCTTGGTTTGGGCCCCTATGACGTAAACGGACCTTTTACGGGTTTAAAAACAACCTTTTTATATATATTGGGGGGGATGTGTAAATGGTAAAAAAATACAAAAAAAGTTAAACAAAATTCAAAAAAACTATTAATGGGGCCCAACCCCCGGCCTACTGAAAACCCAAAAATGATACCCTTTCCCCCAAAATCAAAACCTTCACATTCCTTCCCCCTTTTCCCTTGGGGATTCCTTTCCCGGCTTTTTAAAAGTTTTATAAATTTTAAATTTCGATTGAAAATTTCCTTTAAACTTTAAACGGACTTAAATATAAATCTGGGAAAATCCATTATAGAAATTCGGTAGGTTAAGGGTTCGATTTTCCGGTTTTCAGCGTTGACAACAATTAAGTAGTTTGACTTAATCGAAAGACTTTATTTATAGCAGATAAAAATGACATTTTTTCACAAACAATAAATATCTTTACGTATTTCAATAATATCAATAAAATGAAATTTTAATTAAATGGTATAAACTACAAAATCTAATTATAAATAATATTGAGGAGAAAAAAAACTAAAGGAAAAATACTAAGTAAACAAAATCAACAACAACAACACTAAACAACAACAAACAAATAATGAAAACGCAAATATGCTAATAGTCATTTTTAAATGGTCACCTTGTCGGTTTAAAAATCAATTAAAACTAACAACAATAACCACCATAGATTATATGTGCCCATGTTACTTCATATGGCATTTTGTAATGATACATGCACAATTAGACCTTTCTTTCTAGACTACACTCTCTAGCGTTTTTTACCAGTACTAAACGACACATGAAAGACGTCCCCGTATATGATGCTTCATTTTGAATTGTAATATTGAAACACTTGCACCAGAAAAGACGGTAGAGAACTTAAATCCCGATAGTCAGAATGCTTACAACATTCTTCTATCAAGTTATAAATTGACTTGTATTCATTTTCTTTCTAGAATAAGATTATACAATAGAGAAGGAGAGAAAGAGATATTGATCGTTAAAACTGAAAGAAAGCAGTTTAAATTGAGTTGAATACATATTTTAGAACTCTAGTATTTGACGCGTATACTATTTGAGTTATCAGCCTAAAAAATTGACGATGCATTTTCAGCTCTAAATAATAAATTTCTCTAAGATTCACCCGAGTATAGAGTGTTAAAATAACGTACTTAAAAATCGATCTACCTTATTGGTAAAGTTAAAACCATTTTTAAAAAACATGCTTAACCTGCGAGGGGATAGCTTTAATAATTAATGATATATATATTTGTTTTAAACATACGTATTATCCAATACTCTATGGAATTTCAAGCCGTGTAAAAGAAAGGTCACTAAGGGATGCTTGTATTTCTTTCGTCAGTTTTTAAAGTTTAAATATGAATGACATAAAGGCACTTTTTATATTATCTGAACAAATTAAGTTATTTAAAAAATTATCGGACCCTCCCTCAAATTACGACAGGTTTGAAACTTACGAAACCAGCATTAAACAGGTATGTATATATTTTTCTTCTATTTTAGTTATTTTTTACTATCCATGCATATATGTATCTCGTCACTGAACACTTTTATATCTTTATTACATTTGGTGTGTGTTTAAAATTTGGTCATTTTTCGAAAATATTAACATGTATCGCTCAAAAAACTTTTTCTGGGGAGCGGTGATTAGATGATTTTACGATGAATGTCTGTCATGGGTTCGAGGCCGAATAAATTTATTCTTGAGTCACAGCCGTGTTTCCTCATTAATACCAATACTGGCTAGAAAACGACGCCAAATTGCGGCGTGGCCAAATGGTTTAACTAGTAATCTAAGGATTTCTGGCGGGCTGGGTTCAAACTCCGTCAGGGGCAAGCCGTTGTTACCGTGAGCAAGAAACTTTACACCGATTGCTTGGTAGTAATTGGATCCAGGAACAGTTTCTAAATTATTTCATTAGCACACAATCGAACTACAACAAATTTGTATAACTTAAGTAAATAAGTTTTATAATAAGCTTGGTCCACAGTCGAACTTTTTTGCCATTAATGACAAATCTCGCAAAATACGTTGCATTCACTATGAAGTTTTTTAAGCGATCGTAAAGTTTATTATCTTACTTTCATATGATTATGCATCAGACTTTGGAAATATCATAGATCAATGTTGTTTATTAATATAAATACTGCAAGTTTGATTTGCTGTGTAATATATGTATACCAGGCGTTAAAAAAAGTATGCATAAACTTAGACAAAAACAGCAACAACAACAAAAGCAATTTGTATAACTTATTACACTCACCGGTATATAATTCCATATACGCGCACTTCTTACGATTCAACAAGTACATTAAATTCCATTGCTAAAATCCCATCCGAACGAAATTAAGCACAATTCCGGCTCTATTTTGTGTAATCATCCAGGTCAAGTGAAATAAACATTGATTAACGAACGCGTGAATAAATGACCAATCAAATTCGATTACATCGGGAAATCCATTTAGGTCATTCCTTTAAATTATTTTTATAATCGGTAACCTAATACTAAATATCTTTCATCCAAATATATATTATTTTTTCGCTTTCCATAAGCGCATGTCGTAAATGTAATTGTAATTTTTAAACCACGCCTTAAAAATTAGCTATGAATGAAAATCACGATTCTCGTGCTCGAACGAAATGGATAGTAAAATTTGTAGTAATAATTTTCCCACGGCAAAATGATTTCACTTCGCATCATGATAGCAAAATCTTTTTAATGCTGTATTTTTGTTTTAACTGTTTTCCTATTGCTGTAAATTTCAAATAGTACTTTTGTATGTATAGATGAGTGTGCGTGCGTGCGTGCATGTGTGTGTGCGCGCGCGTGTGTGTGTGTGTGTTTATGTATGTGCGTAACAAATGTATTATTTCTGTTTGTGCGTGCGAGTGTGTTAATTTTTCCCTGATTTCTAGATAACTTGAGATTAAATTGTCAAAATTTTCAAAGACATATATATATTTTAGTACTTGTGTTAAAAGCTTATAATATTTACCTATGAAATTTGTATGTTGATAATATCCACTTTCCCCACATGAAACTTAAATTATGATACCCATTTAATATTGATATATATATATTTGTACACATGTAATTACAAAATGTCACCTTGTAATCTGTGCCTCTCTAATAAAGATTATGTTCTGTTCTGTTCTGTTCTGATAAATAATTGATAATGCTATAACACTAACTTTTAGAATAGATAATGTAAAACCGGTATTCACAATTATTTCTCAAGGATCAAGAATACCAAAAACACCTTACATTAGTATTTTAAATGCTGCCCTTTTAATTTCTTTTTCAAAATAGTAAAACAAAATAAGTATTTATTAAAAAATAAATGATCATGAATGTTAATAAACAGAAGTAGTTGGGTAGGGTAGGGATCAGGAGCTCTACAAAATACAGTCACACCGGTGTTAATGATCACCTCGGTATAAAAATAAAGATGTATATAAAGCCTCTTTTTGATAACCCTTTATTTGTAAAATGGAATAAGTAGCCTACAAATAAAGACCACTCGTCTACAGAGGTCATGTTTCATATCCATTACTGGTGGCCTGTGCTCACAGGTTAGACTGTATGTGTCATGTCAAGGTACTGACTATAGACGGCGAAGGCTTAATACGATATAAAGTATGCAAGATGATAAAAACAATTAAATACGGACTGTCTATTCAAATAACTGAAATAGGCTATGATTATTTTGCTAATGACACGGACAAAATATACCCCGAGTCGAGTATAAGTTACGGTCAGTGTTCGGTTAACCTAAATTGTATCATAAATGGCGTATGAATTGCGATTTGTTTCAAGTTATCTATGTTTAATATTGCGTTTCATACAAATGGTAATAATTTAAGTTATTTAACAGTGTATGTATTCAACATTTATCATATCCGATGGTAATTCACATACGTAAATATTTAGAGTATAAATGATATAGAAACTCTAGTCATAAATATCTAAAGATACGTCCAATATGTAAACATGTCACGCTATCTTGTCACGCTCCAATTTTGAATGCTTTGTCTATGAATATACTGTATATACTCCTTTATGTGACAAAAGATAAATTGCGAGTAAATTTATCAATTGAATCATTCGTATTATAACACAAAACCACCGCTACTTTTGAGAGGCAATTTAAGAACGACTGAATAAGATCAATAACTGAGATTTTGTAAACTGATATCAATCTTTTTTAGAGTTATTTTAAACTTTTTATTAAAAAAAAGAAAAAGTAAGGCACATCATAAGTATGCTTTGATCAATAAGAAACATTAAAAGTTAAAGGTGCGTGATTGTTCAATTTTATTCATTGTATTAATTCAATACGGCCTTCAAAGGTAGGGCGGCAAATTTGACAAAAATGCATATCAGAAGAGAATAAAGATATAAAGATTAAGACAATATACACAGAAAGCGTTCAGAAGAAGAAAGAACTATAAATCATGCACACCTGCCTGTATAATACAAACACTTTATTGATTTGTATAATAGGTGGGTTTGACTTATTTAATTTCCCTCTAATTGCACCTTGTAATAAAATATCGCCCCTATTTCTTTAAAGATCAGTATGAGAGTTAATAAAGAACCAGGTTGAATGGGGTAGGGGTGTGACGACAAAGATGGATGGGAGTGGTAGATTTTTCTTCCTTTCAAATTCACATCTTTCTTCCTATTAAAATGTCGATTATAAAATCAGATCTTTTTCTCTATATAATCATTAGCAACAGATGAAATCTTTTTTGACTGTAATGGGATGCCTATTGATACGTGGCACACAAGGTATAAGTACTGTGGCCACAGGACGTACACGAACAATCAGAATAACCAAAATAGCTCATTTCCCACTTTTTAGTTTAACTATTCGAAGAATAGGGAACGACAAGGGCATTTGCACTCACCCCGGAGTCCGCGTCGGCGTAGCCGTCACAATTTTTTGTTGTACGTTGGGTTCTCCAAACAACTGAAGGGAACGGGATGAAACTTCAAACAATTGTTTCCTGTGACTTTCTAGCATAACTGGCAAAGGTCCAAGAACTCTTAGGTACCTTTTTTACAGAGTTATGTCCCCTGTCCTTCTGTCATGCACTGCGAATAGACGAGCAAGATGTCTTACGGACAGCACTTGTTATACATGTATTCCAAATTTACAAAATTAATGGAAACTCCAAACGAGAGTTTTCGGTTTTTTAATACAGACTTTTGAACTACGCCCGAATGTGACATACCAACAACGTAGCTTTGTTTGATACATTAGATTAAATTAAATAAACTATATTACATGTACGACCGTCATATCAAAGAAAAAATCTTGATCTTGGCTATATAACATGTATAAGTCGTCTGTATGGGTTTCATAAATATGTTGAAAATGACTTAATTCGACAAAAGAACTTTAAAACTAATTACATATTTTTTTGTGTAAAATTATTAAAACACGAACCAATTAAATGAAATTGGATATTGGAAACTTGTAGCAATGGGTGAGTAAAATATTTTCTTTTCTATAGTAAAGTGCGTAGGCTGTTTTAGATAAACAGTGTAAAGTGCCTTATTTGTTTTTGAAAACGCACCGTTATCTCGGATGACACTTGTCGGCACGTGCAATATCTTATATCATCTTCAATTAAGACTTCACATAACACTCCACAGTTTAATCTTCAGCTGTTTGGGGCATTTTAATTGAGGAGCGTTGTTTTTTAAATTTACAATAAGAACAATTTACAACAAGTATGCCATAATAGAGATTATATATGTATAGGATAGATCATGAGTACCAGTTGGATGTGAGATTTATCAACGAGCGAAGCGAGTTGATAAATCTCACATCCAACTGGTACGAGAAATCTATCTGACTTAGACCACAGGTTGTTTTCTCTGTTTAAGGTGAAGATTAAACATGCGTAAACGGTTTTTTTTCTCCGACAGTTACAACGGGATATCCAAATATTTCTTATTCAATCAATATGGCCTTATTGTAGGCACAAATTGCACGAGAAAATGGCATAATTCATGTTCTTTCATAAGTTACTAAATAAACAATCTAATGAATGATAGATAGATTTGACATTCTATCGCAAAGGTGCAGTCAGAAAAAAATTGGGAAGAATTTAACATTTTTGAATGTGAAAACATTATAATTTCGAAACTTGGGATATTTTTGTTTTGTTGTTATTCCTGTTGGTTCCTCATTTAAATGATTTAATGACATAACATCGTACACAGCGCTTGGAAGCAAGACTGCTTACCGAAATATACTCTTAGACAGAAATCATGGGCGATGGCTACTTATCAAGAGTGGGCTCGTTGGAGAAACGGGCAGGTATTTTTATAAAGGTTTTCCTTAATGCTTAAACAACACTAGGGTTTAGGATATTTATTGGTTGTTCGGCTGAAGTTGAAAATATTTTACTTGACGTATAGATTCGTTTTTTTATTGACATGTATGCTTTATATACACCCTGCATTGACTTTTTTACTTCATTCCTGAACTGGAAAAAATATTGCAAACGTCCCTCTGAAGCCTTAAAGCATAGAATTTCCTTAGCATTGTAACCGCAGCCCAGTCACCGTTCGGAAACTCCACCCCCTTCCCCACCAGTGGAATCCCCTCTTCCCAAACCAGTAAATGAATGAACATCTACAGTGTCTGTTATGTATAGGATAGATCATGAGTACCAGTTGGATGTGAGATTTATCAACGAGCGAAGCGAGTTGATAAATCTCACATCCAACTGGTACGAGCGATCTATCTGACTTAGACCACAGGTAGTTTTCTCTGTTTAAGGTGAAGATTAAATATGCGTAAACGATTTTTTTCTCCCAAAATTACATAGGGACATCCAAATATTTCTTACTAAATATATTTGGCCTTATTGTAGGCACAAAAAAAGCACGAGAAAATGGCATTATTCATGTTCTTTCATAAGTTACTGTGTACACAATCTTATGAATGATAGAGTTCACATTCCATCACAAAGGTGCAGTAAGAAGAAATTTGGGAAAAATTTAACATTTCTGAATGTGATATTATTACAATTTTGCAAGTTGAGAGATTTTGTTGTTATTCCTGTTGATTCTTCATTTAAATGATTAAATGACATTTCACCGTACACAGCGCTTGAATATGAAATCATGAAGCAAAACTGCTTACCGAAAAATACTCTTAGACAGAAATCATGGGCGATGGCTGCTTCTCAAGAGTGGGCTCTTGGAGAAACGGGCAGGTAACTTTCATTTAACGTTTTCCTTAATGCTTAAACAACCCTAGGGTTCATGATATTGATTGGTTGTCCGGCTGAAGTTGAAAATATTTTAATTGACATGTAGATTCGTGTTTTTGTTGTATGCTTTATATACATCCTGTATTGTCTTTTTTACCTCATTCATGAACTATAAAAATATTTCAAACGTCCCTCTAAAGCTTTAAGGCATAGCATTCCAGTCACCGTTCGGAAACTCCACCCCCTGCCCACAAGTGGAATCCCCTCATCCCAAACCGAAAATGAATGTACATCTACAGTGTCTGCTACTTAGAGTGAGTCGGGCATAATGCACAAGGCCGAGTGCCCAAAAATATTAGCCCAAAAGCGGTCGTAAAATGTAGATACATATATGGATTTAAATAGATTGGTAAACATTATTGCTTGTTTTTTTTTTATTTACAAATACAGTAACTATTCTTGTGAAATGATGAACTGACGAAATAAATTGGTCAAATGACTATTGCTATCTGTTAATTTTTAAGAAGGGAATTACACTATGAACTTTACTATATACATATAAATTTTCCTCGCATAAAGCGTACACATAACGGTTTTTTTTCTTTCAGTTGAATACAAACATGATAGTTATATCAAACACTTTACTGTGATGTGTGGGATATATCAAACACTTTTAAACTACTCTGATTGGCCGAGAGAAAACAGCTGTGGTCTAAAGATAAATATTTGACATTGTATACACATAAATTAGAGTGTTTTGTTTGTAATCAAGGTAAAACTGATAGCATCTGACAGTCATAAATATTTCAAATGGTTCGGGTTTATTTTTACAATTCTTCATGGTTTTGTATTCGTCCATACCTGCAGAATTTCCATTCAAAGTTCGTAATTTGTGTTTTTGTTATTGTTAAAGTTGCATTTTATAAATATGTAAAAATAGTTTGCCGCCGGAGTTTCTAATGCAAACAAAAATTGTACATGAGTTTGCATGCAGTTCCACTTATATTATTAATTTTTGTCGTGTGAACAGCCCCCATCCCCCAAAAAATAAATAAATAAAAATAAATAAATAAAATAATGAATGAATAAATAAATATCAATAAATGAATAAATAAATAAATACATATAAATAAATGAAAACGGTAGCCGATATGAAACTTAATTTATAATAAACGAAATGTAGCTAATTGTGTTTTGATGAAATTAATAAAATGCAGCTTTAAACATTGAAAATAATAATAATGATATTATACCACGGATCTGGAATAGCAAGCCTGCTGTGACACACAAAAACGTTGACCTTACGCGATTATGGAATACTATATACACTTTAATTTTAGGAAGATTTCTTTCTAAAAGGTTAATATTGTTCCATACGATTCGAAATTCGATTTAAATTAAACACAAAACACATTACTAGCTTAAGAAACATAATTCCCTCCCTGTGAAAACATACCATTATTGAAATAATACACTTTTATGATTACTTTAAATATGATGTTTTATACATATAATAATTCTGGGAGCGCAATGCTTCATACAATTATAATATTATCTTAGTAGCGTTTAAAGGCCCATTATGCCTCAGAAATGCTATTATTTTCATTTTCCAAACGTTTTTATTGTTGGTGTCATATTAATAGTTGCCAAAATATTACTTATTGACCATTACTCTGAACAATCGTTTGATTCTGCGGCTTGTTTGCGGCTTATAAAGAAAATGTGATTTAATATTTTATATGGAAGTCAAAATACTGTTTTGGTTACATTTTTCATCAGTTTTTACAAATAATGTCCCATTCAGCGTTACTCCATCATGTGATAAGCTCTATTTAAAAAAAAAAGTTATGAAACTCTAGTTTACCTTTTCTAACGAGGGACATATTTATTCGTTTCCGAGGCATACTCTGCCTGTTTGTTATATATTTACTAAATTAACAGAACTGGAATGTATTATTACAAATCTAATGATAAGCCAATTTACAAAATTTATCGTCAGTTAATTTAAATATTCTTGTTCATATGATATGGTTATACGCTACACTTTCGTATAACTCCCTTTTTGCAAGTTTTTTCCCCGATTTATCTCACAGTTATGCTTTCAGTAACATTTAACATTAACTTATTAAAATGTTTTCATTTTCGTACTATTATGATGTAGGTATTGGGCGGAGCTTCTAATGCGGTTGCAAAAGTTAAGGCTTATGTTGAACAAGTTGAAGCGAAACTTGACGAATTGAGGAATTGTCCACAAACATTAGTGAAGAAGAACCAAGATGCCATTGAAAAAATATTTGGTAATGTCATCATCGAAAATTTAGTTAAGCTGATGTCTAATAACGTCAATATGTCTGAATTTATGGTATAAATTAACACAGTTGTACACATTTCTACCATCAAAATCAATATTTTGTATGTTTCAATATACTCTTATCTAATCTATATAGCTTTTATTTTTTCATCAGTTTTTTAAAAAAAATCCGTATTTTTCCCTTCATTTTCTAGAAGAGACTGTTTATTTTACAGGAACTTTTGTACCCGGTGAAGGCGGAGCGATTAGAAAATCTGCGCTTGTTAAACTTGAGATGGCTCATAAATTACAGAATTTGTCAAAAGATATAACAAATGATCGTCTTAAGGAATTGATACAAGAAACAGAAATTGTCTGCTCGAAGTTAAAAGATGGCACAGATGTTTGGTATGATGACATAGATAATCTGAAAGGTTGCCTCCAAAGTCTGAGAGATGCAAAAGCAAAAAGTTTCGAAGATGAAGAAAAAGAGCGATCGGAGGAAGAGCGGAGAAAAGCCGAGGAACAACAGAAAAGGCGTGAAGAAGAAGAAAGAAAACGAAAAGAAAGAGAAGAACAGGAAAGAAAAGAGAAGGAAGAGCGGGAGAGAAGGTATATTTACAATTATAAATAATTTTATATTTAAATGCTTTATAGGTACTTCGGTATACTTCGGACATTTATCTGGACATTCTTCTATTTGTTTACACACTATTTCACAATTTTTTGCGAGACTAGGTCGTACATGTAAGCATGGTTTTTCATTAAAGTTAAACATAAATATTTAAAAAAAGTTTATTAGTATGCATGTGCATTTATAAATATTTTTTAAGTCAAACATTTTTTATAATTATGTTCCGGTTTGTTGTGTCAAAATAAGGTTTTAATATAATTATAAGAAGTGAAATGTCATGAAGGACATTTAAATGGTATCCGAAGTATAACGCATGTGATATTAGTTATAAGGTTTGATATATCCATCGAAACGAAAACAGTTTCCAAAATGGATTATAAGTAAAAAATTTTTAAGTCTTCCCATCTCAGTTAAGATGTCATTGACCTTAGACAATGTTGGTGCGAGGTAGCCCTCCACCATCTCCAAAGAAGTACAAAAGTGATTTCATTTAATAGGGAAAGAGAGGAAGCCGAGCGAAAGGCTGAAGAAGAACGGAAACGAAAAGAAGAAGAAGAAAGAATGAGGAAAGAGGAGGAGGAGAGGAAGAAACGAGAGGAAGAGGAACGCATCAGGGTAGGTTTACTATAGCTTTACGTGTGTCAATGTTTTCCAATCGATGTAGGAAATATGGAGACGCGAAGCAAACGGTTGCCTCTTGTGGATATTTCAATACTAAATGAGCTAAATCCTTTGAAAAGTTAATGTCATGCAAGTATTTAAAGCTCAATAACTAGTGATTGTTGTTTATCAAAGAGAGATGAGCCAGCCATTGTGCTCCGAAATAAATTCATTTCCAGAACTCGGGCAATAATTTATTCTGTTTATAATACATGTAAATATTAATACACAAGTGGACTGGTACGCTGCAAGTTTATAAGTGATGATCTAAGTTAATTATGTAACTTGCACGGTTACCACATCATTTTATTAAATGGAATTATACAGTTATATTAGACTAATACATTTGTGTTTTCACTGTAACGGTATATCACCATTCTATATTTTTTGACAGAGGGAAGAGGAAGAAAAGAAAAGACGATTAGAGGAAGAACGAAAACGAAGGGAAGAAGAAGCTGTCAGGAAGAAAGAGGAAGAAAGACAGCGTTTAGAGGCTGAGAAAAGAGAAAAAGAACGTTTAAGGAAAGAAGCAGAAGAAAGGACATGGAGAAGAGACCCAAATAATTGGGATCCTGTAACGTAAATAAAATCTTTTAATTTTGTGAAATACATATACAAATAAACAATGTAGTTTGCCACATTTAGGTTTCCCCCTGCGGGCTTGGGCTTTGAATGCGTCCTTGTATTTCTGCTAATATAAATGCATCGAAAACCCTCTATTGTATAACGTTGCATCTAAAATACAAACCATGCTGCAAGATGTTGTCAAATTGAGAGACAAAACACTTGTTCAAGCTTTATTACATTTATAGATACAACAGAGACTGTGGTGAAGTAGATGGAAAACATGCATACCATAATGGTATATCGTGTGTCATGGCCTCCGCACCAGGTGGTATCGGCAAAGATGACATTGAATGCAGTGCAAGTGATGAAGTTGATTCAATTATAGAAGTCCTTGAAACCGATGAGAAACCAGTGAGCTCTTTAATCGAAATAAAGTCTACAAAGGGGACGCTTAAAACCGAGGTATGTTTCTTAAACAGTATAATATAAACAAATAAATCACGTCTAAGATAAACAAATAAATTACTACTAACATAAACTAACTCAATAAAACAAAATCTGCAACATTTTCAGTTTTTCGTTTGATACGTTTCTGTTTTGAGATTATGTTTCTCTCTCTTTCACTAGAATAACACTAATTAGTATAAGTCATAGTCAAATAATGACTTAAACTTGGGATCCATTTTCTCTTGGTTCCCTTAAAACTAGACACGATAGTTACGAGACCAAACGTCAACTAAAATAATTGAGAGTCAAGTCGCATTACTGTACAAAAGGGAAACTGCTTTTATGCTTTAAACCAAGTATTACATTTACATTAGCTCTTTTTACAAATATTCAAATTCTATTATAGTTTATTTACGTTTCTAAAGGTTACGTATACATATACATGCATAATAATACGTGTTGTGTTTGCAAATGAATTTGCTTTCCATTGACATAATTCTGTTTTGAAGATAACGTTTAATAACATATACTCTAAACTTTTGTCAAAGGTACCTACCAGACTTTGCATTCCGCATTACTCTCTGTATAGTTCAAGTGACGAAACTGTGGTTAAAGTTTCTCTGAATGGGGCAGACTGGATAATTGTCACACCATTGCCAACGACATCTAAAATGGAAGAACAAGAAGTATGCTCCATTAAGAAAATATTCAATATACATTTGGTCTGATACGTGTTACATTTTCTCATTAATTATATTATTATATCGTCATTATGTTACCAGAAATCGAATGTTCTATTGATGATAAATATCTAAAGATGTATGATAGTAAAAAGCAGACATAACCTTTATGAAATGCCAAGAGAGGCTTTACCATCCTCCAAAATTACAGCTTGACGATACTGCTAAACATAAGATGTTTGTATCAATTGTTGTCGATTTCTGATTGTTAGGGACGATTGATTCCGTCACATGAAGTGTTGAGGATCAAATACAGCTTAAGCCAGTGCTAGGGGACATGAGGGATGTTGCCGATTCCTCATGAAAAGATTCAATCAAACCGAGTCTACATTTTACATGTAATTGCTTCCGAAGGATCTCCCCTTACCCAGTTTTTTCTTAAAAGTTAAATGTCAATTTTAAATATTTAAATGATATAACAACATTGGTTCTAATATTTCAAAGATGTTACCTAGTGGTAATAGTGTGCAAAAGGCGGGCAATAAGGCGCGAAAGGTGATGTAAGTTTCATGACATTTGTCATGCATAATTGTTCATTTCTTAAAAAGTTTCTTTCATGTTATATATTATACTTTATACCAATTTCAATATTTTCAGAAACTGGTAAAGAAGCTTGCAGGTATTGACGTTAATGACTTCTCATCTCTCAAAGCCATTGTTGTAACTCGGCCGAGGTGTCAAACTATCATAGTTGATAGACCCGGAATTTCAGTATACTCTACAATGGATAAGAATGTTAAACTCTTTGTTCCTAGAAATGCTTTCGAGACAAAAACAGAACTAAAACTAATGGTTTGTACTGCGTTGATTTTAATATAAGATTTGGAATTTCAAGGCACATTAAGCCTATGATATGAATAAAGATTTCCTGCTGTAAAGAGAACAATCATTTGTTTAACAATGTGGTTAAATGCTGTGACATATAAATCACCGGAAGAAAATGGTTCTGGATGAAAACTGTTAGTAATAAAAGTAGCAATATATATACAAAGTGGTTTTTTGACTCTCATATAAATAATTAATTACTTTGAGTGCGTGTATTGCATAAACACCAGAGAAGCAAAAGATGGCTCAGTAATATGTACAATGAGGATCATTCTGGAATCCATAATTAAACACTAAAGATGAAAAGCTTTAATTTGACAAATGAAAATGATATCATATGTGTGGCTTAATTGGCCCTTTTGAGTACACAGTTACGGATAAAATTACTTTAAGATTTCATATTTACTGAAAGTTGAAGTTAAATGTTGATGTTACTTTCATGTTTATGTTCAACTGATCAATTTCCTCTTTTTTGTCTTTCCTGCAGCACTGTTTCAAAGTTGAAAATATTTTCATTCGGTTAATCAATTTTAGATTACATTAAGACAATAGTGCTAAGATTATGTAATTTGTCATGAGATTAAAATGATCATAATTAAACTTACATTATTATTTTTAAAGGTACAATCGGTTTCTGACAATTCCCTTTCATCTTTTGGGAAAGATAACTCAGAGTTAGAAAATATTCTTGCTGTCAGTCCGGTGTTAACTCTGATATGTGGAAGACACCCGAAAAAGGCAATCGAAGTAGACCTGATAAAATCATCTCAGAAACAAAGTGAGTTTGTATATAATGACTAGAATTATAATGCCTATGATATATAGATACAGCTTCTTCTATTATTTATTTGGTAGTAATTATATCATGTATATAAAACATGATATTTTTCATAACACGTTTGTTAGATGTACAAAACAGTTATAATTGCACATCCATTTATTTATTTCATTGCCTACTAAAATGAAAAAAAAAAAACAAAAAAAAAAAAAAAACAAAAAAAAAAAAACCCACTCCCCCCCCCCCAACTATATTTTGTGCCATTATGAAAATACACTTTACCAATATTTCAGGCAATGGACAATTTCAACGTGGAAAGACGTATCAAATGTATACATCGAAGGATAAGGTATGGAAATTCGCTGATGTGGAGTATAAAGGTCACCAAGACGATCTGACAATGATGCTTCCGCCTGGCAGAGAAAAATATACGTACGTTAACTTGATAAATGTCGACTTAAATAACTAAAAGCATATATGAAGGCTTTTTATATTTTATGTTTTTATTTTCAGCAAATTATATTGCTAAGTATGTCGAGATAATATATTTCATTACAATTACAGATACCCGTACACGTCATACACATTATTTTGTTTCTCAATCTCAATCCTATCAGAATTCTATCTTTTTACAGCGTCATGGAGTTAGACATGCCATCAAGTTTTCCTGAGGAAAACGTTCCACAAATAGCAGAAGCTTTGCACGTGTGTATCAACAAGACAGCGGTTGTAATGGTGGCAAAACAGCACGAGAATGATTTGAAGAAATGTGAAGTGAGAATCATTAGACGGGATATTTTGAAAGAAACAATGATATATCTCTCTGAAAATGGATACACTGAAGGTAAAAATAAATGAAAGCATTTTGAACATTTGTTGAAAAAGTTGTTGAAATTATATTTTCTCTTTTGAGATTATTCTGTTGTTATCATGATTAAGTATATAATATATTGTTTTATTTAATCGGCACCTCAGACTATATATTATCCCTTTAAATCACCATATCATCTTCGCACTGTGTAAAGACAAACTCAGAGGAAAAAGGGGGATATCAGCGATTTGTTCCTTTCGTCTGTCTGTCCGTCACACTTTACGTCAAGTCCAGAACTCAATCATTCGTTAAGAGATGTTGATATAATTGGCATATATTCATACTCGCACCTTTGAAAGACTACCATTGTGTATTTCATGTAATATTTTTTTTGACAACTTCATGTTTAGACTTATTAATTTTCATAAATACTGACATAAACACCACATATACTAAATGATCAAGAATATAACGGTAAAGTAATTACACTGATTTGTGATAAATGGGCATGGTGCATTTTGTATCCGTTGTATTTACAATTCTAATTTGAATACATATAGCACTGATGATAACGAGGCGATTGGCTATGTATCATTATCAATTTTAATATTTACTTAAGAAGGGAATATTTGACTGTTTAAACCAACACCATAAGCTTTAAACATGCACAGTTTTTGTTACACTTCGGACACCCAGTTATTGGGTGACCTTTATTGGTTACCCCTTCATTAACGTTATTGGGACCGGGAAGTATCGCGCATCGTCCGTGTAATACTGAAATATGAACAGATATTTTAAATTTTGAAATGACATTCATAAAAAGATGAAATTAAGGATGCAAAGATTATTTTTAAATATTGTTAATATGTTGATTATATGGAAACATTTGAACGAAAATTTTATACATATCCTATGATGAAGGCTTTACATCTAAAGCTTATTCATCTAAATTTCATTTTTGCCGTTGAAAAGTAGTTGAAACATTTCTTACAAAAGATACATTAAATATATTAATTATAAGGCATTGATTAAAACCTCGTTCAACATAAGATTCAGCTACATTTAATTAATCATGCTCACATTTAAATATACGAGTCTTTTGATTTAAAACAATATAATAAATTTATGCATTTCATATGAGGCGCATTGTATTATTCATCTCTGAACCTTTCAGGGCCTGAACCATGCGCCGAGTTCAATTTACAAGAAGGTCAGCAACTAGAGATTATCTGCACTGGCAATATAGACGATGAGTTAAAAACAGATACTAATGTAACATTTTATTTATCTTTTCATATTTATTTGTTTAAGAAATATGACGTAACATTAAGGCCAAAAGTTTTCTTACATGGCTTGTTCAGTTCATTATGAATACAAATGAAGATGATAAACATAGAATTTGAAATTATTACAAACATATTTATCAATCAGGAGGACTAAACACTTTTGAAGTCTTTTTACAGAAAATAAATGCTAGTTCTGGAAAAACGGGGTGAGGGGATGAAATTGTGTAAACAAGTTATTGGTTAAGCAAAATCTCATAAAATAAATAATAATAATAATAATAAATATGAAAATAATCATATTATAAATATAATAAATAAATTAATATATAATAAAAAACATTGATACTGCAGTAGAATCTATATAATACCTATATCTTTTCACAAATACAAAAACCATAACTAAAATGTACAAACAAATCATTCTTGCTTAAAACAATTTTGTAATGAAACACGATAATAATCAAATACCTATAGATGCAGAATATTAATTGACATTTAACTGGTGTTCCTTTCTTTGTTCGTGATTCATATATAATTTCCTTCTAATATAATATAATGACTTCGTTTTCGTACTTTTTGTTCCATAGTAAATAGTCATTTGAGGCTTAATTCTCGATTCCATTGTTCTTGATGAATTATATACTGTCTTCATCTCTAAACATCAACACTATCTATGTCAAATGAGGCCCAAAATATAATACGTTAGCCATCCAATTTTTTTAGAAATCTTCATTCTGTTGTAACACTGTTTAAATTAACCACTTAAAAAACTCCTGATTGCTGGTGGGTAGTACAGCTGTTATTAGGGGCCAGTTTCACAGACAGTCGGTCCCCAATCGGTCATTTAATTTTAAATTGACTCGCTGTTATAATCGGTTGTCATGCGTGATTTTATTTCTGGTTTTCTGTGTAAACGGCCATGCGTGATAGAAAACAAACTCAAACAGGGTTGAATCGGTGATAAAAATGCTTAAATACTATGATCGGTTTTTATCGTTTGTGAATCGGAGCTAAATCGGGCGTAACAATGATTAATCGGTGTTTGATAGCTAGTCATCAGTGGTTTAACACTTTCCGTCAGGTATGGCCGGTAATTCATATTTGGTTATCTTTGTCCGTGATTAAGAGCTTGCATATCTCGTGATATAGGTTGCTGTCGGTTATTTGTAAAATACTTTCACCGATCGAGAATTTTAAACATGTTTAAAAATCCCCATCGGTAATTTTTCACCGATAAAACTTATCTTTCCCCAATAGCAGTTGATAGGTGGAAAACAGGTGACCAATGGGTGATATCGGTGTTAAATACGTTGTCATCGGTTCACTCCATAATTTGGCTAAAAAAACTACCGATCAATCACCGATGGCTCTGTGTAACTGGGGTGTTACACAGAGCCATCTGGGGTGTTACACAGAGCCATCGGTGATTGATCGGTAGTTTTTTTAGCCAAATTATGGAGTGAACCGATGACAGCGTATTTAACACCGATATCACCTATTGGTCACCTGTTTTCCACCTATCAACTGCTATTGGGGAAAGATAAGTTTCATCGGTGAAAAATTACCGATTGGGATTTTTAAACACGTTTAAAATTCTCGATCGGTGAAAATATTTCAAAAATAACCGACGGCAACCTATATCATGAGATATGCAAGCTCTTAATCACCGATATCGCCGATCGGACAAAGATAACCAAATATGAATCACCGGCCATATCTGACAGAAAGTGTTTAACCACTGATGACTAGCTATCAACCACCGATTAATCAGCGTTACGCCCGATTTAGCTCCGATTTACAAACGATAAAATCAAACGTATTTCAGCATGTAATCATCGACCCATTCCCGTTTGAGTTTACTTTCTGTCACCGATGGCCGTTTACACAGAAAACCAGAAATAAAATCACGCATGACAACCGATCATAACAGCGAGTAAATTTAAAATTAAATGACCGATTGGGGACCGACCGTCTGTGTAACTGGGCCCTAACCGGGGTGTTATCATTCCACCAACAAATACACAAAAACAATTTTTAAAATCATCCTGTAACACACAAAAAGTACACACATGCAATAAATGCACTTTAATTATGACCAATCAAACTAGAGAAAACTTAAATTGGGTCACTTGAAAAATTAAAAAAACTACTTTCTAGAAATAACGGATTGGGTCTAATTCCGTACCGGGGTGAAACCAATAATGACCAAGTGGACACACAAAGGATGTAAATCTTTCTGAAAAATGTCTTATCCGTATCATTTTGTTTTGGCTTGCATCTTGTATATTTTGGTTATAAAATGACAGGATATCAAAGAAACAATATACGCAGACAGAAGAAGAATAAAAAGTTTACTCTCATATTGCTGATCTTTCTAAAAATGTCTATACTTTTTATTTGTTAAAATGACATGTATCCTGAAATAGTATGTCTTTGATTCTGCAGGTGAGATTAACGTATTTGTCTTACATTGGTGGAATAACGGGAGCACGGTCACTACGAATTAAGGATACCTGGAAACAGAAAGATCTACCAGCGTATGTTGGTACACTAAGATGTACAATATTTAAAAATACAGCGTCTCATGACTCGTCGTTGTCACGTTCAGTAGAGTTAACAATATCCTTACCAAAGGTTTGTTTCTCGTTTGCCTGTTTTGTGCTTTCATTTATATAGCAGATTGAAAAACCCAATTTGGGGCAAATTTTTTTGAGAAAGAGATTACCCCAAAGAAAATAGCTTTTTATATCTTTTTTAATATAACAAAGCTAATACGTTTATTTTTAAGAATTTTTGATTTTTTTTGTTTGTTTGGTTTTTACTCACACCGACACAGTATATAAAAAAATATTGCGACGGTAAGCTATACGGTAAAGGGAAGCCCTCATTGCCCTCCTTTAAATATTACACACGAAGGGTCACCCGGGTAAAACCACGGGTTTCCGTACAGCGGGAAATTTCCTCACATGAAAGAACCAACCTTCGGTTTCAAACCCCACTTCGGTAGGGCAGGGGGTTTAATCAACGACCTTACCTTTGGGTCAGGACCCCCATTTGTTTTTGAAGTACAACTTTAAAATTTTTTTACAAAAGAACTTCTTTAAACCCAACCGAGTTTTTAAAAATTAATTTAATTGACTTTTTTTTTGGGTTTTAAGATCCCTTTTTTAATTTTTATTTTCTCAATTTTTCACTTTAAAATTTAAAACTAAAAGCCATTTTAGTAAATGAAAAGAACGATAAACGATTCTTTTTTCAGAAATTCCATTTTTTAAACTTTTTAGCCATAAACCGCGACACAAAGGCACTCAAAGTCGTTCCCTTTTTTACTGAAGTTAATGCTTCTTCGTTAACTCTGTTTTTTTCTTTTTAAAGATATAATTTAATCATTTATTTTATTAAAGTACGGGAAAAATAAAACCCTTCCTTTTTTCCCTTTAACATTTAACAACAACTTGCTTGATTTAAAAAAAGAAAAAACTTTTTCCCGCAATTTTCTATACTTTTTAAATCTTTTTCCCCCTTTTTTCAGTGACATATTTGGGATCATATCTTTCTCATAGTTCTTAAAATGACAAACTATTTGGGGGCCGTCTTAAGCATTTCTTGGGGAATCCCAAATTTAGTTCGGGGACAGAATGCCAAAAGAAAAATTTGTAACAATAACAAAAGGGATATTTGCAAAAACAATGCTTTTTGGGCGGATGAAGGGAAAGCCGTTTACCAAATAAGGGAACAAATTGAATAGCTACGCCAGTCAGAATCCCTAGTATGCATTTTTTTTTGCAATAGTCACCAATAAAAACAAAGTAAAACTTTACAATACATATTTATAAGTCAAAAAAGATATAATCAAAATAACTAATTTTTCAACAAAAAAAAATATGTTGGGGCCCACACCCAAAGGTTAAAATTTTAAAATTTAATTAGCATCAAAATTTACATTTTAAATTTTAAAAGTTTCACCCATTCAATCTTTAAGTAAATACACAACGATATTTTACTTTTTATGCAATTTGTCAATTATCAGAAAGGTAATTAACAGGTCAATAACGTGTTGTATTCTGACTTTTTGTTATATTTCTTATAAAATGATGCGGTTTTATTGTTACTCTTCAGTTAATTTAGATAAAGATAATATACCACAATGTTGACCGCATTCCTTTTTATATGCCCGAAAAAATTTCGGGCATATTATGTTATACCCCCTGGCGTCCGTCCGTCCGTTAGCAATTTGGTTTCCGGAGCATAATAAGTTCCATTGTCCCCAAATTCAACTTCATAAATGTTTTCCCCTATTTTAAAACCCCCTTGAAATTGGGCACAAAGGGCAAAGTAAGGCACATACCTTATAACTGAAAACGTTTCCGGGGAAAAACTTTAATTCCCTTTGGGCCCCAGTGTTCGTTTCATGAATTTTTATATGGTAAAACCCCCTTTATTTTTTAGGGCACAAGGGCAATGGCAAGGGGCCCATTACCTTAAAAGAAAAAAGTTCCGGAGCATAATTTTAATTCATTAGGCCCCCAGGTTTTAAAATCATAGGATGATTTTTCAATGGGGAAATACCCTTGTTTGGGGGCAAAAGGTCAAAGTCAAAGGCATATTATTAAATTGAAAAAATTTTTTGCAAACTTTAAATTCCATTTGGCCAAATATTCAAATTTATAGGTTATTTTCCATATTAGGGGGAAGACCCCAATTGATTTGGGGTCACAAGGTCAAAGGTTAAGGTCACTATTACCTTAAAACTGAAAACAGTTTTCGGGGCATAATTTATGTTCCATTTGGACCACAGTATTCAAACTTCATAGGAGGATTGTTATTTGAAGGAGTTAATACTTTATTTAATTCCAGTCTTACAAATGCTTCATCTTTACTAAAAAGAAAAAAAAATCACTTTCGGGCATATAATGCTCCGCCTAGCGGTGCTCTTGTTATACTGATGCAGTGATTGTCAGTCTGTAAATTTGTCAATCACGCGTCTTCCTACGGAAATGTTTGGTCTAATGTTTAAATTTTAATCTCACTATAAGTATATATTTTCATGTACGAATGTATGATAACAAATTACTACAATTAACTAAATGACTCTTGTAAGAGAACGTCAAACTTAACAATCTGTTCATGTCTTTAGATTTATATACATGTATTTATTTGACCATGTACTGTCTGAAATGAAATCGAATATTAAAAAGAATAAGCCTCTGTTCATATTAATATTGATAGTGTAATATTGTATGTATGAACAGAACATCTTTCGGATACCGTGATGACAGAGATAGCAAATAGTGCAACAATGGATCCACGTACGTTAGGACAACATCTTGATCTAGACAGCAAGGTGATCACAAACTGTATCAATCAGCATCCCAACGACGCAAAAGGTCAATGTTCCGCCGTGTTAATGGAGTGGAGGGAGACAGATGGTGTAATCAAGCACGGCGAACATGCACAGGAATACTTGAGAACCGTATGTAGTTCGAGTAGTTCGAGTCAATAAAACATTATCACAAATGATAGTGACGATGATTGCTTAAAAAGCGACGAACCTCATGTCGACGATGAAGCTGATCAGAAAGATCAAGAAGAACAAGGATATAGACTTCACGAAGAACAAGGAGATAAACTTCACGTAGAACACAAAGATAGACTTCACGAAGAACAAGGAGACAGGCTTCAATGATTCAATGTTAAATAAAAAGCAATCCTAAAGAATCTAAAAACAAATATGGAAACCCCCATACTTAACATATGGGCACTCTACAAAAAGACAATGCAAAATACCGAAAAAAAATAACTGGGTTTTCGATTAGGGGAAAAAAAAAAACACAAAACAATTTTTAAATTTTTAGGGGGAAAAAAACTATTTAAAAATAATTAAAGGCATTAAAAAATAATGGAAAACTATTTCATCGAGAAACGGGCAGTTACTGCTAAATATCTTGCAATAATATTTTTAATAAATAAAGATATATCTTTTTAAAAAATTAAATTTAACATTTTTAACAAATTTTCTTTCATTTCACGCAAATTTGGGAACTGTACAACAATTTTAAAATCTATTTTTTGCCCTTTTTTTTTCTACACATAAGCATAAAAATATTTTGCCATAAAAACATGTTTTCAAAGTATTTTTTTAAGTAACTTATTTTAGTAGGAATACAGCGATCTCCATTCGATCTAAAATCTACCACTTCTTGTTCAAATGATATATTTTGGGTGAAGAATTTAGTTTATTAATAATCCTAAAATCTTTAAAGAAATAAAAATTGCTTTATAAAATGTTGTAACATTAGACGGGAGTTTTGGAAAATGTTTTATCAATCAAATTATGTTTAATTACTCGTATTCTTTAAGAATTAATTCATTGTTTAATTATTCATGAATCTCTTGTTTATTTCTTCGTTAATCTATTGTTTACGAAATAACATTACTAACTGCAATTATTGAGTGTTACTTTTGAATCATATATATTGTCAAATGTACAGTAACATTTTTTTATTATCAAAAGCATCAATTTTCGTCGTTACAATTTATATGTGATTTTTATATTTCTTATTTATACACATATTTTATACATAATAAATGATATATAACCAGTTATATATTTTTGTGATGTTTTTGTATTATACAGTTGATGATATTACCTATATTGATATGTCCATATATAACATTCTATGGCAATATAGACTTATTTGTTTACAGCTGTTTTGCATTTAAAAACTTATAAAAAGGAAATCCCCGATCACTGATAATAGATCACTGATACTGTATGAACTACATTAATTTTGAGGCTGTAACAATACGATTAAATGCGTATTGCAATATATTGCAATACGTCCGTATTTCAAAACATATTGGCATTAATGGTTGGTGCTAGAAAATGAATGTGCCGGTAAACTTTTACAACCCTGTTTTCTTCTACAAATAGATTAACATTTGATTAACAAATCACCAACTTCAGTCGATAAAATAGAGGAAGAACCTTTTTATATCATTCTGTAATCGGTTAATGAAATTAAAGTTCATCTTTTCATATACGCGTATTTTTAAATTCCGCACTTTAAATCATTTTATTCCTCATATGGTGACGAAGCCATTCAACAGTCTTTATTCTGTGCTTCAATGGGCTGGGTCTAATTCCGAACCGGGATAAGACCACTTTTCAGGTTAAGCTCAGCATAGAAAGCCAAAATAAATATATCGAAGTAGCGGACACGGGTTTAAGATGTTTATTGTAAAGAAAATGAAATTTGCAGTATCGAAATGGTTGAATCTTGACCATTATTCAATGGTCAATGATGTTGAGGAACCAGATGCAATAAAACATGACAGATAAATGTAACCACTTAGCATTGTCGGCACTGCAAAACTCACACATTAAAATTACCCTGTATTTATTGTTCGATTCTTGCTTTCTGATGCTTTGTAGAACAAAGTGTTCCCCAACTTAAATACATTCACATAAGTATAACAATTCAGACAGAGTGAAAACAAATTGGCTTATCTCCCGTTGACCACGGTCATTATATACCTAACGTAAATGGCGATTACGCCCCTTTAAAAGTCGCTCTCTAAATGCTAAATAGGCTAATAACGCGTTCTGAATGTGCTCCGATTCTGCAAAATGTCTTTCGATATGACAAAACAGCACCTCGTTTGGGGGATTTACTTTCTTAGAAGAAATGACCACCGGTAACCGTAATGCTGTAATATCTATTTATCTATATCTATAACATTTATATATATCTAATACTAAAGGGCTTACGTGGTGAATATACTGGACCTTTTTCTAGAGACAATTCCCTGTTAATCTAACAGGGCTCTTATTTTACGAAATGAAACAGTATAGTACTTTTCTGATTTCTTGGTAAGAAACAGATTTTTTTTATTCATGTTTTTTCCTTTTTATTTTTTTCCATATCAACCTAATGAATTAGGGTAGAAAACTACTCGTTTCGTGCACATTTCGTTATGAAATTTACTAATTTTGATATTCATGTTTGCTTCAAAACGTTCGCAACAGTTTTGGCATGTCATATCCTCTTACATTCTAGTTTGATCCGCAAGTTGGTTTGTATGCAATATCAAAGTAAAATACATATCTCCTACCGAAAATGCTTAGAACTTAACCTATTCTTGAAGTTAGAGAACATTCGTGCATAACGGTTCTCTGTAGTTTGCAAACGGAAAGAGTTTTTAAAAAAGCTTTTCAAGCTTCCTACTCAATCCGTACTATTTATTATTTGTCAATTATCATGTAAATGTAATGTTTATAAATAAAATATTGTTTAAACTAAACGCATGCCAGCACCACAGAGATCAAGATTCCCTCCCGGACAACATCTCTTACAACGTGACGTGTGCATGAGGCCACAAACTTTACGATGAACTGATTTTCTTATTGATGCCACTGGACTTACATTGCAATGCCATATTTAATATTTGGCTATTACTGGCTTTTTGCCGAAACAGATGTTCTACTCAGACTAATAAATACACACGAAATAGCTCACTTTTTGTGACAATGATTTGTGCCCGATTGCAATGAATTGCAGTCAGTCTTAAAGCAGAAGCTCTTAGTTGTTATACAAGACACAACATATAATTTTCGGCTAACCATTTCTGCCACAGCGATCATTGTTTCACAACCATTAGCAGCCGTTCCTTCCAAAAATTTTCGCCTCTAAATTTACATTGAAATACACGAAAACATAAACATTTACAACATACTTTTTGTGACAGCCATTTACGCTCGATTGCAATAAATTGCATATATTCTTAACGCAGGGGTATTAGCTTTCTTACAAGACATTACATATAATAATCGGTGAATTATTGCCGTCACTGTGACTATTGCTTCACAACCAGTTGCAGCTGTTCCTTTCAAACATGTGCACAGTCATCTAAATTTCCGTTACATTTATGCAGAAAATGGAGTTGTCAAAGTAATAGAAACAAGTTTAGTTTGGCAAGGCAAAACTCATATGTATTTGTGTCAGAACAAAAAAAAAAAAAAAAAAAAAAATGCAGACGACAAAATTTTGCCATATATGAATTCGCCAAAGCAATTATTTGGTAGTGTTATCGAACCAGTTACATATATTTTTTCTTATCTGTTTTATTATCATACATTTTATCATTAGACAGAGATTACTCATAATAAGTTGTGTAAATTGATCATCATCATCTTCATCATCTTCATCATCATCACCATCATCATCATCGTCATCATCACCATCATCATCATAATACATATGATTCATCCCCATAACGTGTCATAATCAATAATATAAAATTATACATTTTTATTCACTGCTAACATAATAATATTCTGTCATAATGGATACGTTAGGAAGTATATCTCAGACAAATCACCAAAAGGATCAACGTTGAACATTTTGCCTAAGTTTTATACATTCACACAAGAAAGAAAGTGAAAACAAATTGGCTTATATCCCGTTGACCACGGTCATTCAGAACCTAACGTAAATGGTGATTACGTCCCTTTAACAGTCGATATCTCAATAAAAAGGCTAATGACGCTGATACAAAAGCCACTTTGTCGATATGACAAAACAACAGCACGTTTAGGGAATGTTTGGCTATTACTGGCTTTTGCCGAAACAGATGTTCTACTCAGACTTATAAATACACACAAAATAGATCACTTTTTGTGCCCGATTGTAATGAATAAATATTTTTTATTATTTTAATAACTGTGTGTGTCATGGAAAGTAAGCAAAAGGATATCTATTGAATCAGTTATTCATGATCATCTTAATGCTAAATGAGGTATGGTAAGGAATCTAAACGGCGTTTTAGTTATGGTTTAACTATAAAATTCATTTTAAAAAAAATGTTTATTCTAGAAGTATTATATTCCACTGACTATAAATAAACCTACGTTTTACTTCTTTTAAATTTTGACCTCTAAACGCTTTTTTATTTAAGATTTCTTGGTTATTTAATATTTACGTTTGTTTTGGGTTTTCTTCACATCGACACAGTATAGGTCATATCGCGACGTTCCAGCTTTACTGGTGGAGGAAGACCTCAGGTGCCCTTCCGTGCATTATTTCAGGCACGAACGGGCACCTGAGTAGATCCACCGACGTTCCGTAAGCTAGCTGGATAGCTTCCTCACATAAGAGAATTCAAAGTCCCTGTCGCGATTCGAACCCACAGCGGTGAGGGGCAAGTGATTTGAAGTCAACGACCTTAACCACTCGGCCACGAACGCCCCCTAATCGACGACGTTAATTGAAATAAGTATAAATTATACTTTATGATGAACTGTGGATTCTCAAAACATTAGTTAAAAAGATTCAATTATTTCAACGTTTAAAGCAATTCTCCCACACAAAACTGGTCTAAATACATCAACATATTTGTTTACAGTTATTGATTATTCATAGAAGCAAAATTTGCATTTTTCACGACATAATTGTGAGCTAAGCTTTGTTCTATTTCATAAACAATCCCGTTATCACACTCATAAACATGTAGCGAGTAGGACAGCTTGTTTTAGTTTAATCATATTTTATTGCTAATACATGTATATTCTTGTAAATATACAGAGAAGCAGATTAATTTCGAAATAACAAATAGCAAAAGGGTTGGGCCCAAGTTCTTACAACATTAGCGATCGGCCCTCCCCTGAATTAGGGGGACAGCTTGATG